ACCAAATCTACAAGCCTATCTGCATTTGTCGTCATGTTCTTCATCTTCCTTTCACTTGTTATCAGAGACCTTCCCTGAGTCTGATTCCCCTTCTTGGCACTCAGGTTCCATCTCCTCTTACAGTCTCCAGAGCCGCTTTCCTGCAGTTAGCATCTCTCTCCACGCCATCAATTTCTGCCTTTCTTGGATATTCTCTTCAGCCTGCAAACATGCCCAGTTATCTCCCAGCCCTGATACATATGGAAATACATGGGAATATGATGACCAAATATGTGCAGATATATAAATCCCATCCTTTCTGGTATCTGTTGTCCACTATTTCTTGTTCCTGTTCTTATCCAATAAATTGTCTTCACTGAATAGTTTTTCTCCTACCTCAATGTCTGTTTCTTCTCAACCATTTTTGTGATCTCTGTGGACCCAAGGGTTGAGTCTTCTTTGCCAGATTCCCCTGGAGCTCTGCTTATTAGTATGCTGTGACACTTAAATGCATCTCCTGCTTCATATCTCCTCCTGAGTTTTATTATAAAATGCAGAGCCAGCTGCCTCTTTGCTCATTTCATGAGCCTCTCCCATTGGTGACATAATGCTTATTTCTTTCCCGTATCTTTCCCCACTTCAATAAATCGCATCACTGTTCACCCTGTTGCTAACACCATAATTTGGGAGTCAGCCTTTATTCTTATTTTTCTCTCACCCCCCTTAAGTCTGATCCATCAGTGAGTCTCATTTTCTCTGCCTCTAAAATACATCCCAGATTCCCCAGCTTTTCTCTCGTCACTGCTTCCACTTTAGTCCCAGGAATCATCTTCTCGTTCTTTAATTCTCTCGTCAGCTCTAATCTGTTACTTCAGCTGAGGTTTATTTTAATGACTATGTGATTCAAAATTCAGGTGTTTATAATTTTCTCATCCTTTTTTATGTGTGTTGTCTTTAAGCTTGTAGATCTTCTAGAGTTATCTCAGTAGAATCTTCACCTTGCATTTTGATCTATAATTTATTAGCTTTGATTTCTTTGTCAAGGTGATTATATTTGTTCTCTATTTTACAGGAATTATTCAGATTTTCCCCCACTGAATGACTGGTGCTCTAGCCTTCTTGCTTTCAGTACAGTGATTCTTTAAACAATTTTCTTGAAAATGTAAGACCATGTCTCTTATTATTACTATGACTACTACTACTACTACCACCACCTTTGGTAATAATCATTTGTTTTTTGGCATCTATTAGACTAGTCCTGTAATTTCCTCCTTTGACCTCTTAAGTATTATATAACTGGATTCCTAATGAATGACTATCCTTGAATTAAAAAATATATAGAGTCCTCTAATTTATGTTTAAGAGTTTGTCTTTCCTTATAGATTGGATTATTTTCTGGTTTTATCTTTTTTTTTGGATTATCTTTGTAAAATTTGGCATCTAGATTTTGCTGGCTTCATAAAATGAATTTGGAAAATTTTTAATATACAATCACCTATTAATAATTGATAGTGTATTTTTTTAAAGGCTTGATAGACACCAATCACAATAATCTGGAACTGATACCTTTTTACTGGGGAGAGGGGAACCAGTAGCTGTAGTTTTTTGTGCCATTGTTGCCCTTCAGTTCCTTCCTAGTATGTCTGCATTTATATTTTAATATAGGCATCTTCTGAGCTAGGCTTTTAAAAAATATTTTTAACCATTTTTTGGAGAGGGAATTTTGCCATTTGTCATGTCACTAGAAATGATCAATTGTTAATTGTCTGGTTGTAATTGCTGAGGTCTGTTGAAGAGATCAGAACTGAGCACGAAATGTGGTTTCTTTCTTGATCTTTTTGTTTTTTCGTTTCCCTTTCAGGATCTTTGTAACAGATTTTCTTATTTTTCCAAGAAAACATTTTAAGGCCAAAATTATGTATCTACTATTAGCTTCACAATATCTTATTCTATTTTATATCTTTTATATCTCTCTTTTATAAGTATTAATCAAAATTTTTTCTCTTACTCTTCCGGGGAAATCTGAAAGAATTTTCTCTCCCAGACTCATCTTCTTTAGTTCCAACTAGGGCTCATAGTGATTTTTGTTTATCCTTTGGATGTAAAATTACTTTTGTTTGGGGAGATAAGAAACCTGACTTCCAGACATTCATGGTCTGGCCCTGCCCTGCCTATGGTTTTCTACTCCCTAGCAAGAAAATTCCATGCTGATCAGCTCCATCTCCACGTTTCCCCCATGCTCATTTCCTATCTCTAATCTTCCCCGGCCCTTTCTGTCTCCCATCCTTTAGGGGAAGGTTTTTCATCCTAACTGCACATGAGTTTTACCTATGGAGCTTTAAAAAAAAAGACTGTGGGTAATAGAGTCCTTAATTTACTGGATTGGAAAAAAATCGCTGAATAGGATTAATTTTTTTCTCTCTTATTCAATTCTGAAGACAGCTTAAATCTTAGCTCCAGCATTAACTGAATACCTGTTAGGATTAAGACACCAAGATAAGTGATGAGAGGACAAAAGATGAATAAAACATAATTGTGGTCAAAGTAGCTAATAAACATGAAAACCCATCAATTTTAGGATATCAAATGCTTACTATAAAGCAGTTCTGCCTGGGTCATCAGTGAACTCATAGGGAGTTTGTCATTTTCTTAGATGAACACAGAATGTAGGAAAAACAAATATGGGGCAGACATCGGGGGCGGGGGGCTCATGGATAGATCAGAAGTTAGTTTTTGTTAAGTTTGAGATGCCTGTTAGTTTTCTTAGTAGAAATATTCAGTAAGCACTTCGACAAAAAGATTATAAGTTGAGAGGACAAAGCTGGACTTAAAAATTCGGGCTTTATCAGTCCATATTTGGCATCTAAAGCCACAAGATTGGATAAGGTCACCTGGGGAGTAAGTATGGCTAGAGAAAAGATGTCTGCTACTCTTTGGGAATATGAGAAGTTAGCCAAGGAGCCATAAAAAAAGATATTGCAATGTCTGACTGTCACAAAAATTTGAAACTTCTGTCATTGCTTCTCAACCTTTAATATGAATCATTTAAAGTTCAGTAGGTCTGAGATGGGGCCTGTGATCCTAACACTCTAAAAAAACTTCCAGAAGGATATGCTGCTGGTGGCCTATGGACCATTCTTTGAGTAGCAAGACTGTATGACAAAAGAGACATAAAGTGGAAAATAAGGAAAAACTGCAACATTTGTAGGAGGATAAGGATTAATATCTAGAATATCCAGCATAAAGGGTATCTACAAATCAACAAGACAAACAAAATGGACTAGAACACGGAAAGAATATGTATAGGGAATTTTCCAAAAAGAAATTTAAATAACCAGTAAGCATGAAAAAATGCTCAACTTTCTGGGAAATACAAAATAAAACAAGATCACCTTTTTCTTTCAGATTGTCAAAAGTTTAGAAGTTTGTCAGTACCCAGTGCTGATGGGATTGTGGGGAACAGGTGGACTCACATCCTGCGAATAGGAGTGTGACTTGGTCCTTTTTTCTTTTGGAAGACCGTTTGGCATATTTATTAAGTTTTTAAATGTGCGTGTCCTTCAATCCAAGAATCCTTTGCCTTCATATTAAAAGGGAAAACTTGCACCTTTGCGCAGGAAGGCAGTTCAGAGCTATTGATTGAAGCATTGTTTCAAGTTGAGAAAAATGGAATAATTTAAATGTCCTCTAGTAAGGAAGTTATTAAATAAACCAGGGGTCCTGAAACCTCTTTGCTTATTTTCCCCCCTTGTACATTTTTTAATTTTCTCGCATTTTTTCAGTATAATTTTAAGTAGTGTAAAAGGCCATAGTTTCTAGTATGTATTATATTTATGTTAAACACATTTTTGGTCACACATTAAAATTGAAGGTTTAGATCATTCAATTTACAAGAGCGTAATCTACCACGTAGTATAATTTGCAAATCACTCAGATAAATTGGACTCATTTTTCATCAAGAAAAAAAAATCTGACTTTTTATTTACCTTAAAATAAACGTGTAATATGCACCTACCTGTATTACAACCACCAAACTTCTGAATTCTAGACGGGCTGGCTGGATAAATGGATAAGGCTTGGAGCCTTGCCGAGATTTTGTTACATTGATAAAATAAGGGCTTACTCTTAATTTTTCCCCACTTTTCTCTCAAGGGATTTTCCTTCTTCTCTGGTTTGTTAGGTACTTTGGAATTTGTACATCTCAGAACAGTGCACCTTACTTAGTAGGAATTGAGATGGATAAAAACACTCTCTTTCTCTTATAAAGTAGACATTTACGATGTGGCAATTTTAAAAGGAGAGGAAAAAAGAACTAGTTCTCAAGCAGGCTGGGAAGAGTACAAATGGATGTTGAGGATCTGGAAATTAATTCTCCTACAGTTATGTATGTCCACCTAACCTTAGGTTACCATTGAAGTTTGAACATGATTGAAATAAGCAGTGTCATAACAATATTATGAAATGAATGTATTTATACTTAATATAACCATTTAAAAGGATGCTTATATAACTATTTAAAAGGAGCAAAACTTATATGTATTGACATGGAAAAAGTTCTGAGGATGTGGTTCAGTGAAAAAAGCAAGTCTTAAAAATATTTTTATATATAATATTTTATTATATGATTTTATATTCTATATATGTATGTACATATTTCTGCTTTTTACTTGAGTAAAAAGGCGATGTGGAAGGATGCATATCAAACTATAAACAGCAACTTACCTTTTTGGCAGGAGCCCCAGGAATGTGGGGAAGGTGAAAAGAGCTTTTCATCATTTATTCTGAATACTCGGTCTTCTTTGAATTTTTATAGACAATATATTGTATTACTAGTGTGGAAAACAATTTTTTAATGTTTAATAAAAGGAAAAAACTGCTGTACTAAATGATCTCTAAGGTCTCCAAGCTCTAAATTTCAAGGAATGCTGGCAGTTATTGCAATATTTTAATAGAAATGTTAAAGTATTTCTAATTCCTATCCTAAATTAATTTTATTTAAATTGTTTTTAAATATTTTGTAGGTGTGGAACATCAAACAAATGATTAAGTTGACACAGGAACATATAGAGGCCCTATTGGACAAATTTGGTGGAGAGCATAATCCACCATCAATATATCTGGAGGTAAGTTTTTGAGTATCATATCTGTAGTAATTCTGAAAAGAAAAAAAGGAACTTATGAAAAGCATTTGTACTGATAACATTGGTCATATTATGGGGGTGAGATTAGAAGTAGATTATGGGAAGAGAGAATTAGCATTGTGTTTATTATGCCTCTTCATCTTGTTTCACTTGTTACAATAAATGTGTAGTATTTTGTAATTTGGAGAATGTCAAAACTAAAGAAAAAATCACATATAGACTTCAAAATATTACTCTGGTTAAAAAACAACTTATTAAAAAAAAGAGAAGAAAGCATTCTGCTATAGAGGTCAGCAAACTATTAATAGTTACCATGTTAGAAAACAGGGAGAATTTTGTAAAATATCTTTTTTCCAGAACATGTCTCCCCAAAATTGGTTTTTGTTTTCTTACGGGTAAAATTTACAATATTGAAATAGCTCACGATTGCTTAGCTTTATGGCTTACTGGTGCTTTGAGGCTTTTGCGTCAAGCCTGGAGCATCATTGCAAAGTGATGAGTTAGTCATTGTTCTCAATCCTGTGGGACAGTAGTTACTGTTAGAATCACAGATAAGCTTTCTTGGCATTAGCTGCCTTATGTCAGTCACTCAGGTCCAAGCAGGCTGTGGCCGGACCCTGCGCAGTCAGGCCCCATAGCCTAAACTGCTTACCTACACTGTCCCTAGAAAAGCTAGTCCCAGCTGTAATCACACTAGTCATGCAAGGATATAACCCGAAATTACAATATCGGGTTACCGTTTGCCTTCAAATGCCAGAGCCTTTTAGGCATGGATTGACAGACTCCTAAGATAAATTTCTAATTTAATAATCTAGTTACTTTTTTTTTTTCAATATCGCCAACTTTATTTTCTGCATTTGTGTCAGAATGTTTAGTTTACAAGTGTGGAGGCTCTAACTGTATAATTTTTTTTGAGAAGTACATTTTAAATGATTTTTATTGTTTAAAGCTTCATTCAACATCAAAATTACCTTGGGTACATCTGGGGACTAAGCTAATAGTGGTGTTTTTTTTTAAACAGCACCTTGCCTGAACATGACTTTAAAGAAATTAATATATTGAGAAGATATATTTGAACCTTTATTCGATTACTTTAATTACACCATTAAACTATTCAACTTCAATTACTTTGCTATTCCAGCCGGTATGCTTTCTAATTCCTCATTGTGTAGGCCAATTTGCCTGTCAGCCTGCTTGTCTGGTTCACTGTATAATTTTTGTGCAATAACTAACGGCAAGGACTAGATGCACTACTGTGTAAAGAGATTACACATGACCCTACCCTGTTGCACTTAAATAGTATGTGGGGATTTAATCACTTGCGTTGTTTCACAAAATAAGGGTTTCATGTCACATACTAGATAAGCATCTAAGTTATTTCTGCTGAATCCTGTTTAGCTAATAGGGACAGAATAAATAGCCCCCCAGCTGCCAATAGCAGCTTGAATTGCCTGGATGATTGCTTGACCACCCCTCTTTTAAGAATCCTAGCTAGTCACTCACCACACCCTGACATGAGGCAAAGGTGCTGTTACCCTCAGTCCACATTTAAAAATCGGGAGCGAGGGAGGCAGTTAGCTCAGGTGGTTAGAGTCCAAGCTCATGACACCAAGGTTGCCAGTTTGATTTCCACGTAGGCCAAGGAGCTGCGCCCTCCCCAACTAGATTGAAGACAACTACTTGACTTGGAGCTGATGGGTCCTGGAAAAACACACTGTTCCCCAATAAAATTTCAAAATAAAATAAAATAATAATTAAAAACCTGAAGGGGCAGTCTTTCTGAATTGGAGCTCACACCCTTAATTGCCTGGTAGCCCTTTTAACTTGGGGCCCCCTCCAGTTATTCAGCACCACAGCAGTTCACACTGCACCTGTGCATCTTTGCCATTCAACACGTGCTGCCTCAGACTCACTCAGAACTGACGCACCTTTCCCCTAAGCCCAGTGAGGCATCGTTCATCACCTAGCCTCTGGACTACAAAGGTGTGTGTACTTATGTAGGTGCCTATGTTATGCCCAGTGATGCACAAAATCTAACTCACCTTCACAACTGCCCTGTTGTAAGCTGTTCAGGCTAACTGGGGCACGTTCACTTATAGCCCCACACTTGGAACAGTATCCGAATAAGCAGTTGGCCCTAAATGGTACTTTTGGTGAAAAGGTCGTGGCTACACCTTAGCCAGATAAGTTCATGCACCTCAAGACCAAAGCCAGTTCCAGTCAAGTACACCATGCCCTTCAACTACTCAGGGCCATGGCCCATTTCTCATCTATCTGTAGAGGTCATCCATGCCAGTTAACTGATGTCTCACTGATCACCCCAAGAGGGCCCCTGGGACTTACGGGGCAGGCACAGGAAGGTGAGGGGCACTAAGTAGCAGAGCCTACAGGATCCCCGATGTATCCCTACGGCACACCAACCTGGGCTTTAAGGCCCAAGTCATCACAACCCCCTGGGAAATCTGCCCCAGCAGCGGGGTGCTGTTTCGCTTACGGTTGGGCAGACAGCCCCAGTTATCACAAGCCAGTGCTCTGGGCTGCAGCCTGACCCCCATGCCACGTGCAAGCATGGTGGGAACTCAAAGGCAGCAAGCTAATTACTTTTCAAAGGATGAGTTAATCTGCAATATTTCATGAGAAAGTAAATTTGCATTTTTTAAGTAAACTTGCAAGTCTGGAAATAACCGTTCTCTTCTTCCTGTGGCTTATCCCAGAACACACAACCAGTTAGTATCAGTGCCAGGACTAGAAAGTCAGACCTCTGACTACTGCTTAGTGTACTTTCTAATGTCCCATGCTGTCTGTTTCACTTATGTCTGTGGAGGGCCAGCAGAGAACTCATACAGAGGCAAATGGTCCTGGAGAAAATAAATTCTTTGTGAATCAGAGTTACACAACCTAACCAGCTATTTTTCTGTCAACTGTTTCTTGGTGGAAAACTTTCCCCCACCCTCAGATGTAATGTATTTGCATCTGTATCCGTGTGTCACTGTGAATCCTACCGGTGCTTTCATCTGCGGAGAGGGCGCCTAACCTCCCTGTACTCACCTCATTGGTAAAATGGGAATCGTATCACACATGTGGTAACTGAAGATTAATTGAGTTGATAATTCTGAATAGCATAATTCCTGATACATATTAAATGCTCCATAAATCTTTGATTCATTAATTCAACAGGTATTTATTGAGTGCCTGCTAACATTTATATTTTTCTAGGCTCTTAAGGATGTAGCAATTAAAAAACATCTGTATAGTCAAGCAGCTTATATTTTAATCAGGAGAGGGGGTTACAGACAATAAACATAAATGAATTAAAACATTCACCTTACCATTGTTTGATGTATTATGAAGAGGAGCCTGGCTGGGGATGACAGTATTCTTTCCTGGGCAACCTGAGCAGGCCCAGGGAAAAGACCTGTGGGCACTGACATTTGAAGGTCCTTCAGTGAAAAGCCAGGTCTGCTGATTACCCACTGAGACCCACCATTGTCCTTTCTGACTCTGAATTTGACTACACTAGGAAGCTCATATCAGTAGAATTATAAAATATTTGTTCTTTTGTGACGGGCATGTTTCACTTAGTATAATGTCTTCAAGGTTCACCCATGTTGTAGCATGTGTCAAAATTTCCTTCCTACTTAACATTGAATAATATTCCATTGTGTGTGTGTGTGTATACACACACCACATTTTGTTTATCCATTCATATTGATGGATAACCATCATTGGTTGGTTGTTTCCACCTTTTGATTATGTTTGAGTCCTTGATTTTATTTCTTTGGGTATATAGCCAGAATTGGGATTAACTGAATCATGTGGTAATTCTATATTTAATTTTTTAATAAATTGCCATATTGTTTTCTACAGCAGCTACAATTTACATTCCTACTAGCAATACACAAGAGTTCCAATTACTCCACATACTTGCCAACACTTATTTTCTGTTTGTTTTTTAATGTGATGGCCATCCTGATGAGTGTGGTTACATCTTATCATGGTTTTGATTTCCATTTCCCTGGTAACTAATGATGTTGAGTGTATTTTCATGTGCTTATTGGCCCTTTGCATTTCTTTTATTTTTTTTCTAATTTTTCGATTACAATTGACATTCAATATCATATTAGTTTCTCTGTACAGCATAGCGGTTAGACATTTATATAACTTATGAAGTGGTTCTCCCTCCCCTCAATATATTTGTATTTCTTCTATGGAGAAATGTCTATTAAAGTCCTTTGCCCATTTTTTAACTGGGTTATTTGTTTTGTTGTTGAGTAGTAGTAATTCTTTATATATTCAGATATACCCTGAATATTAATCCTAATCAGATAGGTAATTTGCAAATATTTTCTTCCATTCTATGGGTTCCTCCTTCACTCTGTTGATAGTGTCCTTTGATATACAGAAGTTTTTTATTTTGATGAATCTAACATGTTTTTCCTCTTGTTGCCTTTGCCTTTGGTGTCATATCCAAAAAACCATTGCCCAATTCAGTGTCATGAAGCTTTTCCCTGTGTTTTTTTCTAAGAGTTTTATAGTTTTAGTTCTTATGTTTGGTCTTTGATCCATTTTGTTCATTTTTGTGTATGGTGTAAGGGAAGGGTCCAAACTTTGCATGTGCATGTCTAGTTTTCCCAGTACCATTTGTCAAAAAGTCCTTTCCCATTGAATGGAAATTTTGACAAATGCACTTGTCAAAAACCATTTGACAACCATTTGACTTTATATGTGAGAATTTATTTCTGAGCTCTCTATTCTATTCTGCTGGTCTGTATGTCTAACTTGATGCTAGTACCACACTGATTTGATTATTATAGCTTTTAATAAGTTTTGAATCAGGAAGTATGAGACCTCCAACTTTCTTCTTTCTTGAGATTGTTTTTGGCTATTCAGGAATCCTTCAAGATTCCATACGAATTTTAGGATGGACTTTTCTATTTCTTCAAACACACTGCTATTTTGATAGGGATTGCATTGAATCTATACATTGCTTTAGGTAGTATTGACATCTTCAGAGTCCTAACTCTTAAATATGAGCGGACATCTAAGAATAACTAAATATTTAAAGAAAGCTTTAACAGGAAAGATAGCCACAGAAATAGTCAAAAGGAACTCAGAAACAGTGTAGAGAGGAGAAGAAAACTTGAAGATAACTATAACATCACAGATAATAGAAGATACAGTAATCTGTTCTTGTTTCATTGCTGTACTAAAGAAGTAAAAGTAATACAAAATCAATTTACCACAAATGTAAGGCTTTATTTCTGGACTCTCAGTTCTGTTGTGTTGTTCTATATGTGTATTCGTATTCCAACACCACATGTCTTGATTACTATAGCTTTATAGTAACTTTTCAAATCAGGAAATGTGAATCCTCTAAGTTTGTCCTTTTTCAAGATTGTTTTGGTTATTCCGAGCCCTTTGCACTTCCATATGAATTTTAAGATCGGCTTGACCATTTCTGCAAAAGAGCCAACTAGGATTTTGATAAAGGTTGCATTGAATCTGTACATGAACCTGGGGAGTCATCTTAATAATAAGTATTTTAGATTTTGTCTTTTTTTAGTTCAAAATAAATGCCATGATCTGTGCCCTCAACTTACAGTTTAGTAGAATTATTTCAAGAACTCAGCTAAGTAATAGAGTAATAGCAGTAATAACCACAACAGGAATTACTAGTACTACTTGTTACTACTAATAAAAATATTTATTGGGTTTTCGCTATGTGGTAGTCTCTGTAATAATGTCTTAAATTATCTCATTTAATCCTCACAAAATTATTTGACAAACGAGGAAAAAAATATAAAGAAGAGTTTGGTGATACTCTAAAGGAGGTAAAGAGAAAGAACAACTTTTATGGATTTTTACCAAGCCACGCGTTGAATTAGACTTTGAAAAATAACTAGAATTTTGACAAGGAATTGAGTTTTGGAAAAGCTGCCCCCTAAAGAAGTCTCTGGTATCTGCAATATCTTGAAGAACCAAGAAAATTCTGTTGATGGTGGTGGTGGTGGTTGAGATGTGTGTTTAGGTAAGAGGCCTTGCTCACATTTGTAGGGTAAGAAAACAGAGAAAAAGGGAAAGTTGGATGAAATAAGAGAAATTTGGGATAATGATATACCAAAGCCACCATAGAAGAGGCGAACACCCAGTGCTGGCACTAAATTGAGAGCAGAAGAGGGATGGAGAAAGATGAGGAGAGCTGATTAGACACAGTAGAAAAGGAAGCTTCATTTGACAGCTGTGATCTTCAAAGGAAATTAGAAGGTATGCTATTTTGGGGAGATGAAGTTACGAGCCAGTGAAGCATAGAAAAGGTTGGAATAAGTATTGTAAAGAATTTAATATTATGTTAAAAATAAGTATTTTGCAGGCAGTAACGTGGAGGACTGAACTTCATGAATTGATAATGGAACTAATTGGCCTACTTGTATTTTCTCCAGCAATATGTGATAAGTGCTGTACATGAGAAATAAACAAAGAACATTCTTGATACAAGAATGAAGAAAAGAGAAAGAATGGAATAATTGAATGGTAGGATTTACCCAAGATTGGCATTTGACAAGCAAGTTGATAAAAGAATAGCAATGAGCCAGAGAATCTAAGACACTGTCAGTGGCATTGTTGAGATAGTGAGCCACAAAGCATGGGAAGTAAGACAACAGAGACCCAAATCTGAGAAACCTAAGGGAATAGTGTTGACCACAAGCAGATGAATGTGGTAGTGAAAAGAAAACTTAAGAAGGCGGGATAAGTGTGTATGGAGGTTCCAAGTTGAGATCTTGTCATCATTTGGAACTCTTGTAAAGAACCATAGTGTATCTCTAGATCTTGAAGGTAGAGTGGACATAAATGTCTTCAGTCCACACTGTGAACACAGCCAGGACAATGGAGGGAAATGAGCCAAGCCAGGTACAAAACAAGGTAGGCAAGTGCCTTGGTAGATTGCACCTGTGACAGTGGAGAGAGGTGGGATGAGTAAATGTTTGGTACTTAAGAAAAGGAAGAGCTATTGATAAGTGCAGTGAAGTAATAGTTTTTAATCCACAATGGAGAGAACAGTGTGTTTTCAAAAATTAAGTGAACATTTTGATAAATAGTATTAAGAAAATTTATTATTTACGTTTATTACTTTTCCTAAGGCTAAATTTGTGTAATAAATGTGCTGCCCAGATGACAGTAAGTAAGAATATTTGATCTGTACAAGGAGGAACTTTGTCTCCCAGACTGCATGTATATAATCTTTAAAGGGTAGGAATTACGTCAGTCTTTATTTTTATAGTCTGAGCCCCAAAAAGTGCCAGGTACATGTATGCTCAATATATATTTGTTGAATGATTGAAGTTTCAATAAGTGGATCAGGTTCAAAGAACCGCCCTTAAAGTCATTAGCCCTTGGAACTAAAAGTTAAATAGAAATACAGCTCAGAAAATTGTGAATTGATTTGGTTATTATGTCCTGAAATGCAATGAAACATTTCAGGGTCATGGGAGGGTTGTAAAGAACAGGGCATTTTGATATAGTTTAGGCTCTTTACCTCAGGAGCTCATTTTAGTATTTTCTTCTCTTTATTTTCCCCAAATTATATGCTAAGATCTAGCATACCTGATGCGATGGCCTTTTTTGAAAATTTTTCTTCATTTTCATTTATCTTTGATAATTCTTCATTGCTTGTAGCATGAAGTTCAGGCTTCGTAGCATGGTATATATTCTCTCTAAAACCTGGTCGCTTACCCAATTTTCCAGTCTTATTGTTTCCCTTTGTTCCTATTCTTCATTTAAATTCCACAGAAGTATATTGATCCTATACTATGTCCCAGGTATTGTATGACATTCAGCTATGTACTCTGTGATTTTCCTGTTTAAAAATTTCTACCTCCTTGCTTTGTTAACCAGTTGATCCTGTACACGGGTCCCTCTTCTCCCCCACTTACTCTGTGTATCTAAATGCTAACCTTCTAAGGCACCCCCCTCCTCATTCTTGTATCAAGAATGTTCTTTATTTCTCATGTACAGCACTTACACAAATAAAAATACATTCATCTGCTTTTCTGCAGCCCAATCATGAACTACTTGAGTGATGGGAAATGCCATTTTTAAATCTTTCATTCTCCCTTGTAGCCTCTCATAAATGTTTGTAGTACTCTATCTGGGGTGGTCAGGAGAAATGATGAACCATGGTGTAGGGGAGGGCGATTGCCACTGCCTTAAAGAACCATCAGCATGTATAGTTGAATTCATTCTATCTCTTTACTTTCAGTGTCATTGTATTTTCAAGATTCTTCTTACTTTTAGAATATGATATCTTATGTAGTCATTTGACTTTATAGGCTTAGTCAAATGAAACTTCTAGAAAGACACCCTGGTCCCACAATTTCTTGACTGTAGGGTCTAAGCCACCTTTTCAAATAAAATTTTATCCTCTAAGCAATATGTGATAGGGAAGGAGATCTTCAGAGATCCTTAGTGAGAAGAGTCAAGTATTTTAACGGATAGCTATTTCAGAAAGATGATACATCTTGTAAGCCCTGTTGAGGAAGTCTTGGCGGTAATAGTGAGATCTGGCAACATTACCTAAATCTTGTTTCACAAATCTCTCTTAATACCTCGTCTCCTTTTCAACTTCTTTTTCTGTTCTGGGGGAGGAGGGGTATGGAACTTAATGTGCCTAACTTTTATGGAAAAAAATAAAAATTTAATGGAGGGGGTACTTATCCTTGATGTAGTGTAATATTTTATGTTAGATATGTGGTTTAGAAGGTAAATTGGGATTTGACCAGAAAATTAGAAATACTTTTTTTATTAATAGATATTCTCGACATCTATATAAAGATATATATAAACATATATTATTTATATATATATATATATGTTTCTCAATGTAATGTAGTATCTTAGAACAAAAGATTTATCAACATGAAGGTAAAACTGTTCATTTACAGTACTTCCAGCATTTATTTTGTAACGTGTAGCCTAAAACCCTGTTAGCTAGATGAAGAGATTATAAACAAGGGCTTAAATTTTATATTTCCTTTTGTCGTTGTCACAAAAAAGTCCAGATTCAATGTAAGTCTACTTTATTTTATAGGCCTATGAAGAATACACCAGCAAGCTAGATGCCCTCCAACAAAGAGAACAACAGTTATTGGAATCCCTGGGGAATGGAACTGATTTTTCTGTTTCTAGCTCTGCATCAACGGACACCGTTACATCTTCTTCCTCTTCTAGCCTTTCAGTGCTACCTTCATCTCTTTCAGTTTTTCAAAACCCCACAGATGTGTCACGGAGCAACCCTAAGTCACCACAAAAACCTATTGTTAGAGTCTTCCTGCCCAACAAACAGAGGACAGTGGTGAGTCAACTTTTGATATTATCATTGCCTTTTCTTTGTGTCTTTCAGAAGGACCAGTTGTTGAAAATGAAATATATTATCACTTCATACTCAGTGGTCATGCAAATGGCAGCACCCATTTCAAACAAGAATGTAAAAGATATGATTATTGGGTGCCAAAGTCTGTTTTCCTTAACTGTAACAAATAGTATTGTTTTTAGCCGATTTGACATTTAAACCTGTCTACCGAACTTGAACCAGGCACTCAAGTCTAAGTACTAGTTCAGAATCAATATCCAATTTCAAGACTTGAGCTTATTTGTTGTCTAACATGTATCAGGTAAGAGTCATTCTTCACCCTTGAGAAATGCCTATTAGCATTTATTATTAAATGTTGGATTTGTAAGGGAAATCTGCAGAATTATTATGGATGGTCTGTTGCACCTCAGGTGCAACAAGTGCTGTGATTAGCTTAGTACATAATGCACCTACATTCACCACAACTTTTTATAATGTCGTGATTACTTTCGATATTAATAAAAAAAACTGTTTCACTTCCAAATACAACTGAACTCAAAGTAATTTTTAGGTTTTTTTCCACAGACAGCATCAGTAGTAATGCTGGTTCTTCGTGGAAAAATTTGCTCACCTGTAATATAGTGACCTCCAGTGAGGTCAGTTTGTCATCCTCTACAACAAAGGGTCAAAGTGTGGGAACACAGGATTAGGCTTTCAGCCAGTGTTTCAGAGGTACTTGAACTCAGATCTTTACATAAAGCTGAGCCTTTGAAGAGCTTTACCTTCAGAGCAAAAGAGTGAACTAGAAAATGTGTTGACTGGCATACATAAGTAACAGTGAAACTTGTCTTTCTTTGCCAGGGCTCCAGATAAGTGGTAAAGATTCCCCTGTGAACCCTTAACTGTAGACCTGGTCTCATCATTTTGTAAAAAGTTAAACATGGAAGCATATGATCCAGCCATTCTACTCCTGGGTATTTACCCAAGAGAAACGAAAACATATGCCCATACAAAGATTTGTACAAAACTGTTCTTAATTGCTTCGTTTGTAATAGTCCCAAACTGAGCATAATTCAGATGTCCATGAACAAGTGAGTGGTTAGACAAGCTGTGCTATATCCGTAGAAAGGAATGCATCACCAATACACACGACTACGGTTGACCAGTCTGCCATAGTCCTAGACCAAAGAGAAATTTACCATGTAGTTTTGATAGATACTTTCACATTCTGCTTCATAGGTCTTGCTTAATTTTGCACTGCTCCCAGCAGTGAGTGAGATGCCTATTTACCATAGCCTCATCAACAGAAGATGTTGTCAGTCTTTTGGATTTTTGCCAATCTGATAAATGAAAACTATCTTGGCAGGTTTGAGTGAGGCTGAACACCTTTTCATATGTTTGAAGACATTTATGTTTCTCTCTATGAGCTGTTTTTCATGTCCTCTGCCCGTTTTTTTTTTTTTAATTGGGCTGTTGGTCTTGATCTTAATTTTTCAGGAGCTCTTCTTAGGAAGATTATATGTCTATTATATGAGTTGCAGATATTTTTTCCCAGTTTGCATTTGTCTTTTGACTTTGCTTATAGTGCGTTTGTTATTGCCATCTAAAAGGCTCTTAGTTTTATGTAGTTGAATTTAATATTTTTTTCTTCTGTGGTTTCTAGATTTTGCATTGTAGTTATAGAGACCTTCTTCACTTGAGGTTATAAAGGAGTTTGCCTTGTTTTCTTCATTTCTTTTATGGTTTGTCCCTCCCTTCTTTCAAAATTTAAATCTTTAATCCATTTGGAGTTTACCCTAGTATACAGTATGAAGTATGGGTGGACCTTTTTTTTTTTTTTAATTGGTTCCAGTTGTCCCAACATGAGTTATTAAAAAGTTCATTTTTACCTATTTCAGAGTCCAGAGTGCTAACCATTACACGATGGAACCCAGCCTCATTTTTACCTATTTCAGATGCTGCCTGTATTTTATTCTGATTTCCTTTATGTGTTGGAGTCTGTTTGGTCTTTCTTTTTTGTTCCACTTGTCTGTCAGTCTGTTGAACAGGCACTATCATGAAGGAGCAAATAGTCCCAAAAATCAGCCTACAGAAGTGGAATGAAGAAAGACAGATTGGTGACTGCCCTTTGGTGATAGAGCGAAAACCAAATTTTTGCCTGCTGATGAAATATACATGCACCTTGTAATCAGCCTATGCAGAGAAACATAAGGGAACATAGCTTATATTTGAAGATGGCATTACAGGAGTGCATGAGGGAAATTACCAAAGGAACTGAGGGGTAGCTAGCCCTCGTTCATCGATCGCCTTATATGCCATGTTAGAGAATTTGAATTTTGCCCTATAAATAATGGGAATACTTTCAGCAGATTAATGAAATGTAAGAGTCTATTTGGGGGTTCTAAATCTGAGTTCAGTGGGCTCATCGGCAGTCCATACATGGACTTCAGGTTCCATGAACCCCCTGAAATTTTATGTCAGAAAGGACATCTGAGGCTTTCATCAGATTCTCAGAAGTCTGGCACAAAGATGAAAAATACCTTCTTTCAACAGATATCTATGGTAATATGAGATAGGATAGATTGAAGGGGGTTTCAAAATAAAGATGGGGTTTCTAGTCAAGAAGTTTTTGCATTAGAGTAGGCAGACTCTGAGTAGCAGAGGGGAAAAGTGAGCTTTCCCTTCAGTTCATTATTTCTGGAAGGTACTGCTAACTCTCAGTAGTTATTTATGTTCTATAAATTTGCTGCAAACACTGAATTAGTGAATACTGCACCATTGATCCTAGGGGAAATACAGGGTTACTGTTACATAAATGAGCCAAAGATGGCCTCTGTGTATTGGCTCCTAGGTTGTTTCTTTTTTCACAGCGGGTTGGGGCCGATTAGCTTAAAAGCCCGCTGGTATAGGGCACTTGTTTACAGTGTGAGAACTAGAACCAGCAGGCAGTGTCACCTTGTTCAGCCTCAGCTGGCAACGGGCGTGGTGGGTAGTTTAGATTTTTCACTACTCTGTACACGTCCACAAAAGCACTGCAAATACTGATTGGGGGTTACAAATAAATTTTAATGAGTAGATAAATTCACAAATGCAGAATGCAGAACACTCTTTATTTGTAAAGAGCATCAACTGCACCAGTCCAGTCTCTTGCATACTTCCAGTGATGAGCCTACTCCTTCATGATAAACTTTCCCCTTGCTGACTAGTTTTAATGGTTATATTGAGCTAAAATGGCATCCTGTTTTTTCTAATCATAGGTCCTAATTTAGCTTTCTAGATTATTCCCCCTTCAATATACTGTTAAATTCAACTCTTATATTCACCTTTACTTCATTTTTCCCCTCCAGCATAAAGATTCCCAATTTCTTTGCAGACTTTTGCAAAGTACTGTAGTGATTTAAAAGAATGGAACCTTTCATTTTATTGTGAACTAATACATCCCCTCTGTCTCCACTCGTTCCCCCACCCCCAAAATGGCCTAACCTGCCTCACTAGCCCACACTGTTTGTCAGTTCACTTTCAGTTATAAAGTATTCAAATTCACTGGGGCGGGGCGGGGGGGGGCGGGGCGGTGTCATGTGCAGCAAAGGCCAGGATAGGGATAACTTCCAAGATACAGAAAGAGTCTTTTTCTCTTTCCAGTACACCTTCCCTCCCCACTCCCAATGTCATCTCTCCTCCTCCCTAGGTTAGCTTCATTCTGTAACCAGATTTTCTCAGCGCAGTGGGAGAGATGGCCCCTGGGGGCTCCAGATTTCTATCCTTTTTGCACCCTGTACCTATAGCAGAAAGAATCTCTCGACCAGTGTCCATCTCTCAGTTTAGGGAAGAACTCTGGTAGTGTTTAGACCATACATCTAGTCCTGAATCAGTTGCTATTGCCAGACATACAGAAAACTGATTAGCCAACATATGCCATGTGTAGTCAGAAAAGTAGCGACCCTTGGTTGATGGCCTCTCTAGTAACATGTGGATTTCTAGGGAAGGGCCTGTTCCCCGAGGAAACAGGAGTGCTAGGCAACTAAACAACAAATATCAATCATACACATTAAGACAAGTACTTTCTTCTTCCTGTGTTTAGGATCAGTAAGATGCCTCTTAAGGACCATCAGTGTGATTGAACGATTAGAGTTTTTAGCTTTGAACAATGTTGGATTGATTTTGCTTTAAATGTTGACATCTCTCATTCCTCTGTGGTGGGCACATAGGGATCTGTTATATTTTCTGTTCTCTTTTATATTTTTAAAATATTTCATAATTTTAATAAAAAACTAAAAATTCATTTTGCTTTAAGTTGGGTAATAATAATAGATACTTGTCATAATTTCCCCTTAATATTAAGTTAGCCCCAGAAATGCTGTTGTATCTGACATAGTAATCCATATGACATTTTAAAGGTATTATTATATTATGAAGGTAAGTTACTGAGTTTTTAAAAATGATGTGAAAACATTTATTTCTTGTACCTCATGTCATGTATTTATGATACTATAGGTACCTGCGAGGTGTGGCGTTACAGTCCGAGACAGTCTAAAGAAAGCACTGATGATGAGAGGTCTAATCCCAGAGTGCTGTGCCGTTTACAGAATTCAGGATGGGTATGGTTTGTATGTGATGTGAAATTTTGTTCAAAAAAAAAAAACTCAGACATTAAATTTTGGGGTTTTCTCTAGGATCTTTACCTAAACCTAGGGTAGGTAAAGATGAATTGAAAATCAACTTTAGAAAAAAATACTAAATTAATACTAAGTTTAGCCTAAAGAAATCTTGTAGGTCCTTTGAGGAGTTGACATTAGGTAATTTTGTATGATAGTGTTTGTTACTGTGATCAAATGATTTTATTTGCAATTTGAGATTCTTACAATTTTTGAACCATTTAGAATGTGACTTATTTGAATAATGGATCCTTCCCTGCTCTCCAATTTTTAATACAAATTCATAGTTTCACAAAAGGCTTATCAAAATTAACATTTTTATATTGAACTGTTTCTTTCAGAAAGCATCTAAAATTGTGCCAAGACCCCACCCTCCCACTCCCCCCAATTTTGAATTCTGTTTTAAAAATTATCTTTCTTGGGGCATGTTGTCCCTTGAGTACTCTTTTTCTTTGGGTAGGTAAATCCATACCTGTGATTTTTTTTTTTTTTTTGGATGCCAGGAACAATCCATTTTCTGCTGTTGTAGGTCTTTTCTGGAGCTGACTTGAAGAAAAGAGTACATCTCTTTACCCTGCTGTTTGTCCAAGAGTGATACATTTATTTGGGGTAAACTTAAAAATTAATTTATTGCTATTTAAATTTCTAACGATGGAAGACCAGGGAGCAAAATCTCCCTCACCATTACTAGCCCCTCAATAACCAATTTTCATATCTTCAGCATGAGGTATATGAAGATTTTTAGATATGATTACCAAGAAAGACTTATGTCTACACTTTTCAGAGAGAAGAAGCCAATTGGCTGGGACACTGATATTTCCTGGCTTACCGGCGAGGAGTTGCATGTAGAAGTATTGGAGAATGTTCCACTGACAACACACAACTTTGTAGGTACCTTTACATTTTTTTGAAATGTCAGAAATGTTCATATTCTTTAAATGAAAATTTTATTTAGGAAATACAAAATATGGATGAATAATTTGGGTATTGATATTTTACCTAAGTTAAAAATCAGTTCTTTAAAAAACTTGTATTTAAAGTAGGATTTTATTTTATTCATTATACTTTCTAATTAAAAAAAGTAATACATGGTCTGGCCAAATGACTCAGTTGGTTAAGAGCGCAAGCTCTGAGCAACAGGGTCACCGGTTCGATTCCCACATGGGCCAGTGAGCTGCACCTGAGCTGAGCTGCCAACAGGTGGCAGGATGGCTCAGCTGGTGAGAGCACATGCTCCTAACAAGGTTGCCAGTTCGACTCCTGCATGGGATGGTGGGCTATGCCCACCCACAACTAAGATTGGACACAGGACCTTGAGCTGAGCTGCCCTGAGCTGCCAACGGGCAGCTGGATGGTGACTGGACTTGGAGCTGAGCTAGCTGCGCCCTCCACAACTAAGATTGAAAGACAACAACTTGGCTGTTCCCCTCCCCCAATTCCCCAATAAAATCTTTAAAAAAAAAAAAAAGGAAGAATACTCAAGACAGGGTAAACAGCAAGAAAGCATGTTATGTTTTCAGTTAAAAAAATAGAAAAATTCAGAATGGATGATACAAAGTTGGGGGTGGGTGTTATAATGCAGCAAGAGTTAAGGTAGAGTAAGCAGAGTCCAGCTCATGAGAGCCCTTGTAAGCCATGTTAAAGATTGAACTGTTCTGTAAAATAATTGGCAATTTAATGATGGTAAGCAGGGGCGAGGTGTGACTAGACCTGTGTTTTAGAACAGTTGCTCTGAGTGCCAAACAGAGGCAAGAGCAAAAGCCTGTGTTCTGCTTAGAAAGGAAAAAAAGCATTCTCTCGCTCCATGTCTGTGCTGGATTTTGCTGGCTGCTTGCTCAAGGAATGCTGCTGATGCCTTCTGGTTTCATTGAGTCCTTGTAAGAGCAATTCCTTCGGTATTTATCTACATCCCAGGAGTCCTTGGGAAGTGGTGAGGTGGAGGACGGCAGGGAAGATAGGGAAACGAGATCTGAAACACATGCCATGTTGTCAGCCCATCCCATTTTCTGTAGGCACTCAGGTTAATGTCTTCCATCAAACAGCCCCACCTTACGAATTAATACACGCAAGTTGCCTGGTCTGTGCCTCCCACTAGTTTACCATCATGCCCTGATATGCTCAAATGGAGAATAGGCCTAAGTTGTGACCCAAAAGAAAAGATATACCTTCCTGTGCTCTCCTTTACTGACAAAGGGATACTCACAGATACAAGTAACTGTATGTGTCACTTGCAATCTATACCCAAATGCATAGCATGTTTTGTGGGGTTTTTTTAGTTGAGCCATCCTACTACCTGTTGGCAGGTCAGTGGCAGCTCAGCTTGGGCCGGGAATCGAACCGGCGACCCTGTTGTTCAGCGCTCACACTCTTGAGAGAGCTCTTAACCTACTGAGCCACTCAGCCAGCTATACCATGTTTTCATCTCCTCTCTGCTTCCTTCCCTCTTTCTTCCCCTCCTTCCTTGTCCCTCTCTCTTTTTCTCCTTTACATATACAGCCAGTTACACATAGTTTCCAAGTATAAGTCAGTGACAGGGAGAAAGACTGCAACTGAGTAAAATTAATGAGGGAAGAGAAATTAGGGTTTCATGATGCTCAACAGATTATCAGGCGAGTGGAGCTATGAGTGGCTGGCAGAGAGGATCCAATGACTATAAAATGCTGATTCCTGTGCAGTCGTTTTGTGTTTTTTCTGGGCTCTACTTCCTGAAAGAATGCTAGCAGTATAAAAGATTCTTCACTTTAGCAAATAGTGGTCACATAACTATTAAAGGTTTTCTAGTTTCTTGTATATTCAGAGACAGAAGGAAAAGGAACAAAGCTAAAAAAAAAAAAAAAACAGTTGCCTTTTTACATCCCCTGGAAAGTGATGATAGAAAAAAAGATGAAGGAAACAAGAGCCATTTTTAAAACTACCTAAATGTTCTCAAAAAGCCAGAATGAATGATGTGCCAAGATACCGTTTTCTTGATGAAACATTTTAAAATAATTTTTTATTCCATTAAATGTTTATTGAGAAACGTTTGGTAAGCTGTGGGTGTTGAGATCAATTTATTGTATCAAGAAAAGCATTTAAATGGAATAGAATAGGAGATTCTAATGTACGTTATATATAGTGAGGGTAAATGTTGTTATATGAACATAGGCGTATCCTGGGTCGTAATGTAAAATACAGTTTTTATTGTCATTCGTTTGTGATTAAAACTGTCTGAAAAACAGATGAATTGAAAATATACAGCAAAAAAACAAAGAAAAAAATAGATGTCATCCATCATGCTGTCATCACTCTGAAATAGCCATTGTTAACATTTTGGTATTTGCTTATCCTTCTTATGTTTTCTGCTTATTATTATTTTTTTTTTTAAGATTTTTTATTGGTGGGTTGGGGGATGGGAACAGCGCTGGGGAATTGGGGGAAGGGGAACAGACAAGTTGCTGTCCTTTTGTTCTTCAGTCTAGTTGTGGAGGACGTTGCTTCACAGGCCCAAGTTGGCACCATCATTGCACTCTTCCCAGGCGAGGCAGATCAGTCGCCGGCTTCTGGACGGCCGGTCATGGTGGCTGCTGGCAGCTCACTCTGGCTGCTGGCTACACACGGTAGCCCATGGCAACCCACTGCAGCAGGGGCTGCATCCCACGCCGTCGCCGGCGACTCACGGCAGCCCAGCTCCAGGTTGAGCTGTTGTTCAGCATCTTAGCTGTAGAGGGCAGTGTCACTGGCCCTCATATGTGGGATCCGAACCGGGACCCTCTGGCCTCCCAAGCCAGCTCTTAACCAATGCGCCACTCGGCCGGCCCTTTCTGCAAAACAAATACTTTTCAAACAATTTCTAGCTTCAACAGTTAGCAGGGTAGAGCCTGCCTCACTCGGTTCTGTTTGTGTGAACCATGTTGTAGCTCGTTTGCCTCTGATGTGGTGTTTGTACGTGTTCTTTTAAGTTTCACATAGAGGAATGTTCACAAGTATCTTTAGGTGTTCTAACCCTCTAACAAAATGATATCTTGTTAAACATAGTTCTTACTTACTGTCTTTTAGGTGATTTCCCTGTCCCTTATCCTCATTAGTAAGTTTAGATAAGGTTGTGATTTTCATACAATTACAAACTCGTTTTCTCATTTACAAATAATTATATTTACATTTCAGTCGAATGTATATAGTTTTAAAAATAGTGCAGAGAGGCTTATAACAAAAAATAGTCTGTTGCTCCATCCCTTGCCACTAATGCCACTCTCAAGACGAAATCACTCTTTAATTTTTAATGGTTTCTGTTTTAAGCTCTTTTTGTGATTTCATATTACTAAATAATAACTTTAAGTCACAATTTCTTGCTTTATCAACTTTAGATATCATTTACTGATTCCATAGGGAATTAGCTCATTCCTGGCATTACTACCTTTTCAACTCCTTCCCTCCTCCAATGTGGTTTTTTTGGTTTTGGGAGGTGTTTGTGGTTCTTCTATGGGATACCTTTGTAACTTTTGTTCCTCTATTGGATACTTTTGTAACTTTTTTAAGTATCCCTTTGTTTCTTGTTCTGTTAACACCAGTAAGGATCTCTTAGCTTCTTTCTTCCTACAATTATTGCACTCATCCTTTCACCTCTATTCCTCCTACTTACCATCTCTCTACTTTTATTTTTATGTAGTCAAGCTAGAAATTAGTTTCAAGCCTTTTATTCATTTCCCATCAAGAGTTCTGAATTTTTAAATTGGATATTAGGTGGGAGATAATACATATAGTGTATCTGTTATCATGAACCCTCTGGTTTCATTTTAGTATCTTGGTGTGTAAGGCAGTTCTCACAATATAAAATATGAAAAATTTGTTATTTTAAACAGAATAAAGTTGATTTCTAAAAAGATTCTTGCAAGTTTTTGAAATCCTCTGTGATGTTTTACTTTGCAGGTACGGAAAACTTTTTTCACCTTAGCTTTTTGTGACTTTTGTCGAAAGCTGCTTTTCCAGGGTTTCCGCTGTCAAACATGTGGTTATAAATTTCACCAGCGCTGTAGCACAGAAGTTCCTCTGATGTGTGTTAATTATGACCAACTTGAGTAAGTAATCAAAAAAATCTCTTCTATCATTTTACATTTAACTTTTCTAAATGTGAAACTAGTATGTCTTAGAGTCTATGGGAATTTTCTGTCCAGTGGAGTTGTTACAGGAAAATTTTAAAACGTGTGGCTAGAGAGTAATATGTACTATAGCTGGTACTTTACTCCAAAATTGTACTTCTGGTTCAGCTATGCCTTTCATTTATGTTTTACATGCTCTTTTAATTAATAAAGATCCTTTGCCCATAGAAGTCACTTTTAGATCATTTTGGGAAGGAGAGCAGGTATTGTTTCAATTAACCATTATATTTTGGGACCACAGATCAGGGGATCTGATTCTGTCAGGTAGTTTATAAATTGTGTTTCTCTTCTTTTCTCTTTCTCCCTCTTTCTCTGTCCCTCTGTCTCCCCTTTGTCCCTCCCACCCCCACCCCTACCCCCAGGTTATTTAAAAGTAAGATACAAAATCTTTATACCCAGTATATCTCTTTCTAAAATTTCTATTTGCTTTTCATGCCAGTTTCTCTCATAGATTAGACTGAGTCTATTTTAATCTTTTTTGTGTGTTGTTGTTGCTGCTGCTGCTGCCACTAACAAGGTCTTTTTTCTTGATCACTTGAGCAAATAGAATTCAACTCTGTGCTTTAAAGTATACTTATTGTAATGATGTAATCTAACTCTGCAATAGGTGTATTTTCTTCTCATTCCTTAATCATAAAGCACGATTTTTCTCCTAGAAATCTGTATAGAACAATTAAGTTTTAGATTCTGAGCTTGCCTTTGAAAATACAATTTAATTTTTTTAAATAAGCCTTTAGACAAAAGGCTTATTTGAATGAAACAATCATTTCTGAAAGTGGAATTTGATCTCAACTATTTCTGTTAACTCTATATTCTGGTATGTGAAGCTTCTGGGTTTTGCACAAGTTAGGTTTGCTTTGTTTTGTTTTTGTTTTTGCCTCACAGTTTGCTGTTTGTCTCCAAGTTCTTTGAACACCACCCAATACCACAGGAGGAGGCCTCCTTAGCAGAGACTTCCCTTACGTCTGGATCGTCCCCTTCTGCACCCCCCGATTCTATTGGGTATGATTTGACTACTGCTGGTAGTGACATGCTACCCGAGCTGGTTTCTTTTGGATCTTTTAGTTTATTGTAAACTTTTCCAACATTTGCATTGTTAAAAGGGGGCTTTTTCTCAGGTAACTTGCTTTATTACACCAGTCAGATATTTAACATGCATTTAGTACTGATACGTGGGATTGAAGCAGACATAGACTGTTTCAGGACCAGTCTTGAAAAAACTCAAGCAACAGATCATTTGCTCATCACTTTACTAGGTAATTTCAGATGTAGAAGTACATGAGTTTTATTTAGAAAAGTAGCATTAAATATGAGACAATGGCAAACAATTTTAAAATACATATAATCTACAATTTATAACAGTATTTTAAACTATGTGATAAAGACTATTACGACGTTTACAGGAGAAGGGAGAATAGTGAGAGAAACTCGTCAAGAAAATTTAATGAAGAAAGTGGATTTGAACTGGACCTTAAAGAATTCCAGAATCTGAATGAACCTAGGAAATGAAAGCATAGTGATTGTGGGGAAGCAGAGGGGAGAGAAACAGCATAAATAAAGGCAATGGCAGTGGTAGACTTGGGAGACAGTGAAGAAAAGCTAATCTAAATCAAGAAGAAGCACGTGGAAGACTAGATTATGGAGAGTCTTGGAATATAGGCTAAAATTTACACTTGACATAAGAGGTGAAAAGGAATTAAAAGTTTTTGAGCAGAGGACTAGCCTGATGAAAATGGTTTTAAAGGAAGAATCACTTAGCAGTGACATACAGATAGATGGATAGAGAGATGTCCATGGGAAAGAAGGCCAACTAAGATGGTTTGTAGTGAAGACAGCGAGAAGCCATGAAGACTTGAACTGGAGGCTAGCAGCCTGCAGACGGGGTGGATATTCATAAAGTGTAACAGAAAAAGTAGTAGTATTGTTACTCAGTTGTGGAGGATAAAGAAAATAACTTTAAAGATGACACAGAGTCATTACATATTCAAGCTTCGTAGTTAAAAAAAAAGAGACGAAAAAGATGATGACAGGTTTAGTAGATGTTAGTTTGCTTTGGAGCATTTCTTATACAGGTCTGCTTACTCTTTCCCTGTTGGATCTGAGGCAGCATATTGTACTATATCTGGAAGCATTGAGTTCTTAAAAAAGCCCCACACAGCATTCTGTTCTAGACTATTCCAGAGATAATTAGCTAAGATCAGAAATATTTTCAGTTTTAACCCTATCCTGCCCGCACTCTTCACAATGTAATGCTATTTCTTCTACCTGGAGAGATAAAAAAATAAGGTGATACTCCCAGTAGACCTGTAATTTTTATGAAGCCAACCTTTCTGGACGTTTCATAGGCTAGAAAATTTAGCAAAAAACTTTTGTGGTAAGGAATGGGTGTATTTACCTATTTTGGAACACTAGAAAAGGCAACCACTATATTCCCTTGTCAGGTTGTAATTGGTTTTTCAGTCACTTTATTCCTGCTGTCTCTCACCATGTGTATGCAGCTGTATATTTCTTAGACAATCAAATCAAAATGTTGCTCTCATTTGTTTTGATTTCTAATTAATCCTTTGGCTGTGACATTTGCTCCCGTCAGATTCTATAGACCATGATGCCTGTCTAATGGCAGGTCCCAGTTCTGTGAGCAGAGTTACCGAGCATCATAATGAAATTAGCTCTGCCAAAGGTTTATAAATGGTAATGATTAGGACATTGCCCTTCTAGAGGTGAAATGCTGTCTTTAAGAAACCATTTGCCTATTCCCTGAGTACTTTATTCATAGCTAAACTGAAGTAGATTCTGATCTTGAGCAAATGATGAGAAAGATGTTCAAACTTTTGTTTGCCTGATGCTTTTATGTCACAAGATTATATGTGTGCCTGTGAAAAGATAGAATTCAATCCTGTTCTGCATCAAAATTCTTTTGCATTTTGTTAATAGTCCCGATAACAATTATAATGGTCATGAAACACATATAACAATGGATGTAACCAAGATATATTGAAGAAGTGATACCTTGCCCAATTTGAATAAAAAGTTAGAGGTACCTACTTTTTTACTTTTTAAAAATGCTATGGAATGTACAAATTTATAAGTCAGCATTTTAAAATGTACATATCACTGAACAGAAGTTGCTTCAAAACTTTTAATATCCTAGATTAAAAGTGAGATCTAAACTAACTGGTAATTTGCTGAAGGGCGCTAGAGGTAAAAATTATCTTTATTATTAATTTGGTACTGCTTTAAATAGGTTTGCAGCGAGATTGGTAGAAGTATCGTCAGGAAAAAGCCAGTTTACTGACTGCCAGTATACTTCACAGGGTGTAAATTGCCTTGGTCTCAGTAAAGACTTCCTAGTGTGGAAACTCAATTTTTATCAATTCCCAGAAATGATGAGAGTTAGGGGTGATGAGAGTATACTGGTTTACATTAAACAAAATCAGGAAAGACTAATTTACAATGCCAGGTAATTCTTCAGTGAGAAATATGCCTGTTGTGCAGACCAAACTTCTTGTGTTAGATGGGCCGACTCTCACTTTGCTTTTGGAAGATATTTATGGAAACCAAATTATAATCCAAACACTGTTTCTGTAAACAGTAGAGTTAGGACATGGTCCAGATGTTTAATAACACCAGGATTGATAACTTGAAGTGTTGTCCAAAATTAGAATATAGTTGCCCTCAAGGCTAGATAAATTGACTCTCTGGACCAATGCATCCCTTTCCCTGAGTGGTATAAAATACCAAGTGCCAAATTATAGTCTTTTTGATTTTGTGTAATAGGCAGATATCCTTTTTTTCTAATATATCCATTCTTTTCTTTAGGTATGATAATAAAATTTATCAGATTAAATCCAGGTTTTTGTTTTTCCTACTTCTGGACCAGTGTCCTTTGTAGACATATTCTAATTCGATATGCACTACATATTTCTTAATTCAGTAACTTTCAAGAATGTGACTTGCTGTCACTTATGCCTATGCCACATCAATTATATTAATTATATTTTCTTATATTATAGTTAATTAAAGCTTTTTCCACCTTCAAGTCCTGCCTTAAATTATGCTATTGCCTTGAGACTTCAAATCAGCCTATAAATAGGTTTTTAAAAGTCTGCACTTTCCAAAAGTGTTTTTAAAAAACTAATATTGTCATTTATACATTCTTTTACCTGCTCCCAAATCTTTTATGAAAAAGCATATATTTGGCTGCCTAAAGCAGGAATAAAGGCTAAAAATTTCTCAGCAATCATGAAAAGGCCCAGTGGAGCATGCTTGTTTTCCTCAAGGCCAGTTCCATCCATCTTACCTGCAGTTCTCAATGGGCCAATACCAACTTTTTAAAGTACATAATATTTTATTATTTTTATTTCAATTCTGTGTGGATTCATTTAGTTAATATGAGCAGATAAAGTCAAAATTTCTTTCCCTACCATTAATAGTGTGCTTCAGGGAAGTAAAACTGTAAACCGATGTGGTTCAGATTCTGTTAACATGCTTTATTTGCAAGCTTTTTGTCACTATTTGACTTCTTTGGCTCTTCAAACCTTTATTCCTTTTCTATATTTTCTTCCCATTCCTCTCTAAACCCTCTCGCCTCACAAAATATCTTTTAATTCCCTCAACATTGTCTTTCTGGCTGTGTCTTAATAACCACTATATAATACTGATTAATTACAGAGTTTGCATAAGATGTGGTAGAATGGTAACCAATCTCTGAAGAGAGGCTGACAGCACCGAGTCATTCATTGGTCCTGTTGGAGCTCACTGAAGCAGCCATACCTCATCTTTCAAGTGATACGCACTCCCCAGCTCTCTTGGTTATCTTTCAAGAGGGGCATAGCTGTTTACAGTCTATTTTCAAAACTTTAGTTTGCTCTGTGACTTATTTTGGGGGCAGTGATGAGAGATCATAGACTTGGTTATTTATCTACAGTACCAAAATATAGGTCACTCTGTAACCTATTTTGATGGTTTCATCAAAAAGCAGTTTTTAAAAATGCTTGCTTTAATGCTTAATATGTGATTCTTCTGTGTCTCTTGTGTCAGTTACTGGGCATGGTATAAGTTTTAAAATATGAGAAATTGACACTTATAAGGATTATCTTTCGAATTTGGAAATGACCTTTTGCTATTCAGGATTTTAATCAACTCTTGTGTAAAGCAACAGGTACACCTTTCAAGTCCTGAAATACACATGTGTATTCTCAAAATATTTATAATTTCCTAATACTTTCCATAAAAATTTCATTTTAGTAACTTCATCTATGAAGAAATGGCAAAGGTAGAAAAAAATGTCAGATTTTGTTCACTCAGTCTCTAGAGCATGTTTGTATAGCTTTAAAGGACAAGAGTATCTTCAGCTGGTTAACCGCAGGTAATATCTAGCCATTTGTAGATTTTCCTGGAGTTTTTTTAGATAAGAATCAGTATTCTTATCAATAGTCCCTGGAGGGTCTGCTTGTGCAAAGCAGCTTTGTCAGTAATAACTGTAGGCATATATTAGTTTTTTAACCTAATACTTTTTAAATCCATTACTACTGGGTTTTTAATGCTTTATTTGAAAGATTTTATTTGAGAATATGAAAACAAGGAAATCTTTATATCAATTTTTTTGTTATTATCTCTATAAAGTTGCTCTGAATCTTATCTTCCAATGACTTGATTTTTCCAGGCCCCAAATTCTCACCAGTCCGTCTCCTTCAAAATCCATTCCAATTCCACAGCCTTTCCGACCAGCAGATGAAGATCATCGAAATCAGTTTGGACAACGAGACCGGTCCTCGTCGGCTCCAAACGTGCATATAAACACAATAGAACCTGTCAATATTGATGTAAGTACCCAGCATAGTTAGCACTAAAAAAATTCAAGTGTATTTCTCTATTTTTCTGCCACAGTTATAATAAAGATCAGAAATGTAACACATTTACTTTCATGTAACACAGTTATTATAAGCGATATACTTTTATGAATTACAGATCAGAAAACCTTTGTCCTCTTCTCTGATGGCATTAAATACTTAACTGGTGCCAAATTACAGTTATTCTGATTTTTTTTTCCTTATGATGCCATCTCTATAAAAGTCTTATCTTCATTTATTTAACAGACAGTCCACTTGGCCATTTTATGATAAAGGAAACATAAGAATACAACTGCAGATTTTCTATTTAGATCAATTTCAAATCTTTACCTAAATTTCTAAAAGTACACCTTTGAGTTAAATAACAATCAAGGACTAATCATCACATATTTGACATGTAAAACTACCTTTTATCTTCTTTACTTTCTTGAGTATACTATTGTATCCCATTGCTATACACATCTTGAATTTTGGCATATTCTTTTTATGTAAAGTTCGTTATTGAGTTTTAATAATTTCTTTTAAATGCATCTTCTCTGGTCTCAACATTTATTGTAATGTCACTTCTTCAATTATTTTAGCCACCTTCTGGCTGGTCACTCTTGACTTTTACTTTTCCAGTTTATCCTCACACTGTAACTTAATTATGTATATTAGTGTCACTTTTCCAATTAGCTCTAAACTTCCGGACAGCAGAAACCATTCCTAATATAGTTCCTTTGGCACCTATCTTAGAACTAAACACATAACAGGCATCAAAAAAACATTTGTTTCAGTAAAAGAGTTAGAAAATAAAGCAGAAGAAATGTCCCATAATATAGATTAGAGGTCAATAAATTTTTTCTTCAAGGGCCAGATGGGAAATATTTTGTGGGTCATACGATCTCTAGTGACAGCTATTGAACTCTGCCATTATAGTGTGAAAGCAGCTATAGGTAATACATTATAAATAATTGGATGTGGCTGTATTCCAATAAAACTTTATTTACAAGAGCAGGTGGCCAGCTCACTGTGTTTTGCCAGTTCCTGATATAGACAAGGAGAAGGAAGAGGTGATAAAAAACATAAGACACACAGGGTCAGTCCAAAAGGCATGGTGTATAATGGAGTCATCCCCAAAACTGAGTTACCTCAGAGAAAGTGCCCTTGCTGTCTGAGCTATGGTGGGCTGGGGAGCCTTGTAATAATCTTCAAATTAGGTATTCCGCCTTCCAGAACTTGTGTTGTAGCATAAAGAGTGTAGGTTATCTTAATCAATGTCTGTAATAAGCAACAAAACTGAGAAAATCCCCAAGTTTGTTTGTCTTGGAAAGTAATTATATTTAAAAAGGCAGTTGAAACCATTTCTCCGTGTAAACAGGGTACTGGAGTTAGTGAGGTGGTTGTGTGTGTTAGAAGACAGGGTTGCTTTCATTATACAGGCCTTCCTTATATGAGTCCTTAGAATTATAAGGTGAAGTAGAGGAGCAAAAATTGTCCCAACAGGAAAATATTCACTAATTCACAGACTACTTTAATATCAGTTCCACTCAAACATCCCTCCCCATTTAATACTAGCTTGCATTCCAACCCCTTTACATCAATGTCCAACATTTCAATGAAAATATAATGCAAACTGATTGCAGATCTGGCACACACAAAAAAAGATTTTAAGTGTTTTATGAAGATGGTGAAAAGTGACTTTGGAGAACTACTCAAGTCATATAAAGCCAATGACGAATACAGAGAATTAAATTAGTCCAGTTAACAATAGAAAAGAGAAAATCCATAAGGATGACACTATCATTGACTCTCCAGATGAAAATAATTTAAATATCAAAGGATTGCCAGAAGCCCTTGAGGGATGAAGTCCTCTAAAATTTTTATATAAATGATTACTATTATGATGTAAAAGATGAATCTGAAATTAAGAACCTGAATTTGTGCTGTCATGTAAGTTTGGTATTATGACCAAAAATTTTTATTCTTTCTGTTTATGCTAAAAATTAGCATATGTTTAAAATTATAACTTAAATTTTAATGTAAAAGAAATAAACCTTATTATAAATTTTAATTTCATTTTTAAAGATAAATTCCCAAATCAGACTTTCTTCCCAATTTTTACTATGAAATTTTTTCTCTATTTGTATTAGATTTACTTTAAATGACCTTTTCCTAATACCAGTTTTCCTCAACTAATAAGGTCTTCCTCTACCTACATAGACCTGAACACAAAGGAAGAAAGATACAGAAGAGGGGGGATATAGAAATAAGGAGATAGTAAAATAAGAAATCAAATCTTGTTTGTAGGTTAGGTCTATTCTCAGTGTGTTCAAAATTGTAGCCTTCATCTTTGCTTTCAAAACTAACATCCTTTTAAAGGTTATTTCCTTTTATCTCTTATTGTTACCACTGTTCTGTTCTCTTAGGCTTGAACATTTGGAGTGTCATCTTTGCATCTTGCCTTTTCATCCTTCCCTATAACCAAATAGTCATAACGTATCACCTTTTTCTTTTGATATGCATCTGAGATTTGTTCTTGTTACCACCACCATTTGGGCCCACATTTCTTCACTTGAACTACTTTCTGCATTAGTCTCCTAAATGGATTTCCTGCCATTGATTTCTCTCCATTTCCATTCTTTGTGCTACCACCAGAATAAACTTTTGACAACACTTCTATTACCATCTGTTCCAAAACTTTTATTTACCTCTCATTGATTATAAGATAAAATAGAAACCCTTTAGCATTTTCATTCAGCTTCAATCATTTCATTCAATTTTAGTCATTATTTATCATGTATTATTCCAGTAAACAAGATTTAATATTGACTCTGGGATAGGCAGTAATATCAGAATTGGGAATTAAGGATGAATTAGTACACAGTCTTTGCTTTCAGGGAGGTCACAGTCTAATGGATGAATCAGACATATATATATATATATATATATATATAATATATATATATTATATATATATTATATATATATATAGTCACAAAAATATATAGTGATAGTTTATCGAACAGGGTGATAAACTCTACCCAGCTGGAGCTAGGAATATTTAGCAGAGAAAGTACAACCTTTAAGCCAGATTGTAGAAGATGAATGAGTAGGAGTTTATTAAGTACACTAGTTGGGGTTTTAGGAAAGAAGGGCATTTATTAAGGAAATAGTAAGCACAAAAGTATGGAAATACTTTAGATGGGTTGTAATTAATAGTTGATATTATAGGAGTGTAGGGTTGAGAAGAAGGGCAGGAGACGAAACTAGGTAGGTAGAGTCCAACTGAAAAGCGCTGTGTAAGGTCTAAGGTCTCTGGTAGCTGGCAGTAGGGAGTCTGAAAAACTTTGAGTGGGAGAGAAAGTGATCATCAGTATATTTTAGAAAAACCTTTTGAATTACTGAGAGATTTGTTAGGCAAGATTGTTAGGAATGATACTGAAAATAGGCTACGACTTAGGAATGCTTCCTGTGTGCCAGGTACTGTACTAAGAGCTTTCCATCCATTTTCTTATTCTGTCTTCAGAAACACTCATGGGTTAAGTACTATTATTATCCTTATTTTACTGTTAGGAAAATTAGATTTGGAGAGGTGAAGAAACCTACCCAAGATCACACAGCTGCTTAATGATTGACATGGAGTAAAACCTGGCCCTTCTTATGCCTAACCACCGTTCCGTATAGGAAGTAGTACAGGAGCGAGATGAAAGGTTAGAGTAGAGGATATGCCCAGATTCTTCTGGCTTGGGCATAGATAGTATTTATTCTATTCATTAAGGTAGGAAATACCGAAGGAAGAAGAACGGGGTAAATGGTAACTTTGATTTTTGGACTTGCTGACTTTAAGATGATTGTGGGACTTAGCAGTCCAGTAGTGGTTGAATATAAGGACCTCAAGTAGAGATCGTATTTCCCAATAATTAGCATATTCATGTCAGTTAAAGTTATGGATGTAATTGGTATTACAGAGTATAAGTAAGTTGAAAAGAGGGTAGAAAATGCAACCCCAGTAAACATTTGAGTACAGGCGGAGACTGTTTCTCTGTTCCCTTTATGGATGCCTCCTTGTAAGTCTAGCTTCAGATAAGTAAGAGAAAGGAGTGTTACAGAAGCCACAGGGAGAAGAGAGATGTCAGGAATGCTGAAGGAGTTGATACCAGTTGCCATTGAGACTCAAATGAGATAAGGACTGAAAATGGCTATTGAAATGCTGATTAAAATGTCTTTTTGACCTCATTGGGAGCTGTTTTAGAGGGCTGGTGGGGGAGAGCAAAGCAGGTGAGGATGTGGGATTGTCAATTTTGTGAACCTAGCTTTAAAAGAATAATGAAAGGGCCTTAGATTGAATCAGGATTGAGGGACAGTTGTTTTCATGTGAGAACCTTCAGTGTGTATGTAACTTGAGGGAAAGACGTCAGTGGAGAGAGAGAGAGAGGTCGAAAATAACAAGGGAATAATTGATGTAGTAAAGTTCCCTGAACTTGGAAACTTCCTCAGAGGCTGAGGAATTAGAAATAGATATAGCTAGCTAGCTCTGCAGCTCTTTACAGGTGGTGTGATCTTGGACAAATGACTTAACCCTGAGGCTAACAATAGCTACTTTTTATAGTGGTTTGAAAATGCTTGTTTAGCCTAGCACATAATATATAATAAGAATTCAGAAAGTATGGCTAATTTTACCGTGCAAATATTTGTAGATGTAGGGGCAAGACAGAAAGTTCTTTGATAGCTTCTGTTTTCTCCATCATGGTAAAGAGAAGGGATATAAATAAGAAAGAAACTACAGGACATTGGAGGAAAATTTGAACTAGTCAGTATTAGAATATTAGAAGATCCTATTTAACCTACAACAAGTAGAAAAGATTGTCAAGGAGCTTTAAGAACATATTTGAGATTGAAAAATGAACGTTTATGGTGGTACTGGTGGTAGGTTGTAAGAGTGGAGAAAGCCACATTTGGCTGATCTCCATGGTTGTGGGGAGTTACTGGGCAGGCACAGCAAAAAGGAAAGAGACGTAGCCCTTCTGCCTTTGCCTTCTGGTTCTTTCTGTCTAGAAGACCCTCTTGCTTTTCTTTTCTGCACTCCTCTGTCTGTCCCTCAAACCCCAACTCATAGCCCATCTTTTCAAATGCTTCACTAGTGAACAAGTTCTATAGTTATTTATCCTTTGAACCTGGGTAGCACCAAGAATTTTTTCACCTATACATACCCTTTATTCAGCAATTAACTAAACAACTTTGGCACCTCTTACTGTTTTCTTAAGCTATTATTCTCGTATTGCTTAATTTTCATATTGCGCACATCTTATTCCCACTTAAATTATAAGCTCTCTAGAACTCAGAAAGTTAGAAAGACTATCAGGATTTTATATTTATTTTTAGCCACATAACCCCTAACACTTAGTACCTTGTTTGCAGGTATATAAGCATTTGTTGATATTCTGTAGAAAATGTTGAAGGCTTTATATAATACATTGAACATGATAGAAATACATTTATAAAAAATTCACTCTTTGTTTTAGCCTGTAAACAAAAAGCTGCCTATTTGCAGAGACATTTGGGGCCATTCAATCCCTCACATTAAGTTGCCCTGGAAAAACAAACTAAGTTCTACTTGTTAAGGTCAAAATTGCATTGCATTGCCAGTAGACTCTTCCCCCCACCTCCAACATTGTCTGTTGTAAAAAAATATATTTTAATAATAAAGACAAATTTTAACAAGAGCCTTGTTTGAGTCATTTTGATTTTTCCCTTCTAGTGTGTCCTTACTCATCCATATTTTTATGATTGTAATCAGTGTACATTTAATTTGTATTCTGTTTTTTAATTATATTGTAAACATGTTTCATAGTTCAATCTTCATAATTGTTTTAGTAGCTGCATAATACTCATTAAATTGATACACCTAATTTACTTAACCAATGTCAGTATGCCTATAAGAGGGAAATAATCATTTCTGATTTTTAGTATGATGAATAATGCTGCACTAAACATCTTTGTGCATATCATTTTTTCTTCTGAATTATTTCCTTAGGAAAAATTCCCAGAAGTGGAATTACAGGATCAAAGGGTATGAAAATTTTATGGCTCTTAATATGTGCCAGTAGAATTTTTTTAAGAATTGATGCAGCCATTGGTTTTGAATGGCCTGAAATGGATTTCAACATTTGATCAGGACTAATAATCCCTTCAGTATAGGGCTAGGTTGGCAAGTGCTTCAAACTTTTGATTTTATCATGTTCACTAGCTAACTCCTTATTCTTTCTGTTCTGTGAAGTAATTATATAAGACAGTTATTCTTTTGAATTAACCTTTCTGTTAATGCTTAGTGGCAAATTCACTGTTGTTACTACTTCCTTACCATATGCTTTGAATAAAATATACATTACTATTTATTTGTAGGACTTGATTAGAGACCAAGGGTTTCGTAGTGATGGAGGTAAGTGGTAATTTCAATTAAAAAGAAAAACTCAGGGAAAAATGCAACTGCTTTGCTGCTTGTCTCCTTTATATTTGCTTCTTTCATGAAACACAGACACAGAGAAAAATGTGTAGAGAAAACCCAAAATTTGTTTTGTTTTTCTTTAGTATTGATCATTTATCTCTAATAAAATTTTAACTAATTTATAACATGAGTAGAGCAAAAGAGAAGACATAAATTTTTATAAGGAGCCTTTAATGTACTGCCTACAGTTGTGAGAGGTTGTTATCAAGAAGAAATTCTTAGTTACTTTACCCACTGTATTTATCCCAAACCTGGAGATGCACAAGTCCCTTTGGGAACCTCCACTAATACTTAAAGAGCGAGCTTAGAACCAGTTAAAACTTGACTTTCCCAAATCATTCTTGGGGAGAATCCCTTGGATTGCCTGTCACAATTTGTTGGCGTCTGCCATTTCCCTTCAGCCTCCTATAAGGGCTTGAAATGTACATTTTATAGAATGGACCCCTAATAGAAAAGCCCAGTTGCTTTTTTTTAGTCCAGTAAATAAAATAAGCAAATGAGAAATTAAATTGAGAATTCTTGCAGAATTTTAATATTCACCCAGTGAAAATCGGGGGCATAAGAAAACATTGCTTAAGAAAATACTTTTTAAAGAAGAATTTACCCCCACCTAATGTTTGCCAAGAGATGGTATTTGAAACTGTTGTCAAGTCTTCCTCCAAGTGGTTCTCCATGTTCCCCTTTTTAGCTGTCTTCTATCTAAGAAGGAAGACCTACGATACCTGCTTACCTTGCTTAGTTAGAGTTGGTCTCTTCACAGTGACCTGCTTTATCTTCAAAATGTCTGACCCCAGACTCAAAGATATTTCATATTGAATAAACCTTGTATAAACTACCTTTTGTTATGTTTCTATGTACCTGTGAAGCTACCAAAATAATGACCCTAATAATTAGATACTTTGGACTTAGTGTTTACCATAGCGCATAGTTATGAAAGTTTTCTTTTCTGTTTGTTATTCCATGAACCCACCAATTAATGTTGCTGCCAGTTTGACTTTTGTATGTCTTAGTAGCTGTGGCTTTTGAAAATTTTGCCCGATACATCCAGCATTTAAATGTTGCCATCATTTTAGCATCATAAAGTTAACTTAGTCATACAGACTGCCTGCTTAATACCTAAAATGAAGTGGCATTTCTTGTCCTTTATTTATGGGTCACTTAAAAAAAATCATTGGGACTTTATGAAAATAAGCAGTTTTTTAAACATCCGGAATTATTTTGTGAAGCAGGCTTCGACTCATCTATTTATTCCCCATGACTTCTTTCATTTCTTCTGTGTGTCTGTCTTCCTGTGTCTGCCTGCCCCTCTCTTTCTCTTCTAACAGCCCCTTTGAACCAGCTGATGCGCTGTCTTCGGAAATACCAATCCCGGACTCCCAGCCCCCTCCTCCATTCTGTCCCCAGTGAAATAGTGTTTGATTTTGAGCCTGGCCCAGTGTTCAGAGGTAGTTGGGCTCTTCTTTCTTGTTTTCACCCAAAGCAAACTCAGTATAAAATACAGATACTGTCTGTGCCTCACCCTCACAGCGTGTGTTTGTAAGTGTGAGAGTTTTCAGTACTGATCTTCTGCTTGGCCTGGCTGGAATGCCCTGAATGTGCTTCTCACACATGCTCACCACCACAAGCTTCTGTGTGCTGTCTGTCATAAATTTAAAAGCAAGAAAAGTCTGAGATTTCCATCCTGTTTTTTGTCACATTACTTGCTTTTTGATCATGATAACTTCTTAAACTCGGGGTGGCAATAAATAATGTGCGGGCGGGGGGGTGTTTTTTGATTTGGATGCCTTTTATTTTAATCCATTTAAGTGATAACCTTGATGACTTAATATTTGTTATCAATTTTTGTGGTTTTTTTGAAAAAGTGGAAATGGAAATCCCTATTACGAGATTTTACTACACTTTTGGCTTTATTTTTCTGTGATATCAGCAGTGTGCTTTTTAAAAAATGTAGGACCTATATATTTAATATTGTATCACATGTAGGGAGCTTTATAAAAGATTTTTAATATATTTGGGGCATGTTAGCATACTTCAGGAAATATGAGGATTTATGTTTTCAGTTATGCCCTAATATGAGGAGAAAGTTAACAGTATAATTTCACTCTCCCATTTTATCTTGCCATACTTTAATTAGTGGTTAAACTCATTTTTTTTTATTGAAGTAAAAATTGAGAAAGGTGTCCTTCTATAAATATGTTTAAAGCACTATATTTTCTGGCTTTTGCTAGTTAGTGGCCGTTACTTATTCTGAATGTAGTGGTGACGGTTCAGATTTTTTGCTCTCAGCCCACCTGTTTCTCAGAAAATCCATAGAATGAGCTGGAAGTCATACAGTACTTAAAATAAGACAGTACAGCACTAAGTAGATCAGAACTGCAAAGTTAAGGCTTTATGTTGTTGAAAATTATCAGTGGAAGGTAGAAAATGGATTGTGCTCTAGTTAATAGAGATTCCAAATACCATTTTTTTTGTAGAAAATTACACATGAGATCATGGAAATTCCACATGATAACATATGTGATGTAGTCATGATAAATTTCTACACAGATTTAACATTTAAATGTTGTCATTGGTATCTTGTTCTGTGAAAGATAGTGACTTCACCCCCCACCCCCAAGAATAGTAATCTTTTTTTAGAAAATCCTCTTGAAGTCTTTTTGTTTGATATATACAAATATTATTTGACATCTCAGTCCTGCTTAACTATGCTCAGTCCCCACTGAGCAGGAACTTAGAATTATTGCCACCGAGCCAGCATTTGGAAGAGTACCCATCAGTAAGGCATGCCACGCTGCCAACCCAGTCTGCTTTCAAAGAATGCACCCGTTGGGCACACTTGGCTGATCGACTATTTCCGTCTGTAGTAACTTGGCTGAGAAGCCATAGCACTTACTTTGCTCTCACTTCCAAAGGCAGGGATTTCTCAGAGTTGTGAGAAAGCTGCTTGGCTTTGTTTACATGAATGTTGTGCAGGCAGCACATCATCTTTGTTCAGTAGAATAAGCCTCCAGGAGCCAATGGAACTGACTAGTGTCTCTCACTCTTAAGTAGTGTAGTATGTGGTATGGGATTTTTTTTTTTTTTTTAGTGGCTAATATGAAAAAGCCAGATATTTTCAACATTAAGGCCATTTATTAGAATATGTTTCCATTTGAGGATTTCCATCTTTTTTAATATTGATTGGCTGCTGAGGTAACAAAATAAAATTTTATCTTTTATATAGGCTTTTAAATTTTGCTTTTGGATTTTTTTTTAATCAAAGTGTATATCTGTAATCAGATGTTTTAAAGGTCATTCAATTGGCCAGAAAACTGAAAGAAAATATAGAACTAATCACCAAATGAGGCCCCTTTTTGGCCTGTTCTTTGTAAAGTCTACTTGAATGTGCACTGCATTTTTTAAATAAGTCTAAATCTACCCCACCCTCTGCCCCCAATAAATTAACGTACTTGATTTCCCTTTAATGAATACATTTGTCTCTTCACCAACTTAGGATCAACCACAGGTTTGTCTGCCACGCCCCCTGCCTCATTACCTGGCTCACTCACTAATGTGAAAGCACTACAGAAATCTCCAGGACCTCAGCGGGAAAGGAAGTCATCTTCATCCTCAGAAGACAGGAATCGAATGGTGAGTGTATGATCTCTTTTCCTCTGAGTTCTTTCTCTACAGAAGTCAAAAGGTGTAATATCACCTTTTAGGTATACTGATATGTCCATATATGACATAGAATTTCCATAATCAAATAAATTTAATAACTTTTTTTGCTTAAAGTATATTTATTTGCACAACACAGATATTTGCTCTCAAATCTAATGTAATTGAGTAAAAGGCAGTTTTGAGCCTTGAATAACATGGATTTGAACCACATGAACCTACTTACATGTGGATGCTTTTCAATAAATACACAGTCAGCACTCCATATGCCAGGTTTCACATCAATGATTCAACCAACCAATGATCAAAAACAATATTGGTCGTGGAACCAACCCCAAGGGATACCAAGGGACAATTGTAGTTAAGTTTGGGGAGAAATCAAAAGTTATACATGGATTTTCAACTGCGCAGGGGGGTTGGCACCCCTTAACCCCACGTTATTCAAGAGTCAACTGTAGTGTACTGTTTCTAAAATTAGGAAAAACAGTAAGCCAGTATTTTAGGAAGCATTATTGGGCATTTATGTTCTAAAGGGCTGGTCTGAAATTCAAATACCTGCCAAATGACCTTCTTCCCTATCTGAAAAAGTAACTTTCTGCTTGCAAAATAAATCTATTTTAAAACTAATAATTTAATTTTAGCAAGAGTGTATTAATGGTATATGTGGATAGGTGGATTCTTTACCAAAATAATTGTGTATGTTGAGAATTTTTTTGAGAGACTGGATCACATGAGGAAATTTAGCACTGACTGGGAGAGAATAAGGAGGTAAATTAGCAGTTACCATAGCATGTTAACTTAAATTTTTGAAAGCTTTGGCTCCAAAACTAGCCACAAATATATAGTATTTATCTTGCCCTTAATAGCCCTCCAAAGGATAAAAGCCTGTTTTATTTATTTTAGTAATACATATTTTTAATACCCAATAAATAATATCTATTTTTTAATAAATTTTTTTCATCCTAACACTGACTTAGGCCTTCAATTTAAGTTCTGTAGTGTTAGATTTATGCTTCTAACTATTATTCCTCCAAAGTGTTTTTTTCCTTAAAAGATCTTATTTCTTTCTAACTTATGCCCCTTTCAGTCATAGGGGAATGTACTTAGCGTGAAACATAAGGTTTTCCTTTTTTGTTTGCCTTGGCTTGACTTTTGCCCTATTTTTATCAAGAAAACACTTGGTAGACGGGATTCAAGTGATGATTGGGAGATTCCTGATGGCCAGATCACAGTGGGACAAAGAATTGGATCCGGGTCATTTGGGACAGTCTACAAGGGAAAGTGGCATGGTATGTATTAGCACGGTGACCTTGTCACAAGTTCTAATAATAGCATATGTTTAACAACTTCTATAGAAATGTATCACAGGAAGTGTTCGCTGTTTGCATCATTAAGCTTCTTGGATCATTTTCAAGAGTCCTCCAAAGGTTTCTAACAAAAATTATGGGAAGTAAAAGCTGAGTTCACATCAACTAGCTTTCCTGTCATTATATAACATTAATAATTTTAAAGATGATGATTCTCCAGGTGAACTAGTTCCCAAGATGTTTTTTCTTTGATAATTTTTCTGCTGATTATTTTATTTGTATTATAAACTGCAAGTAAACATGTTAAATTGTACTTATCAAAGGAAGAAATGGCAAGGAAACATATAAAAAAATGTTCAGCCTGGCTAGTTATCAAAGAACTGCAAGTTCAAAAAATGGAAATCATTATTTGCCTCTCAAATGGACAAAGATTTTTTTAAATTGGTAATATTTAGAGTTGGGATTGCAATGCTGCTGGTGGGAAAATAAATTGGTACTGATTTTTTTGGGGGTCAATTTGGTAATACGTATATCAAGCCAACAATTTCTTTTGTAGAACTTTATAATGAGGAAATAATTGGACAGGAGCAAACAGATATGTGTGCAAGTAGATTCAGTAGAGATTTAATATTAATGAAAAATGAAAATAAATGCCCATTAATAGAATATTGGATAAGTTCATAACCTCCATGTATGATTATATAGAATTTAAATTAATATGGTAGATTTACATTTATTGATATGGAAAGATGTTATATTAAATTTTACAAAGCAGCATGTATAATATCTCATATTATGGTCCTACATAAAAATACATATGACTTAATTTTAAAATGTCCGTTAGTATTTCAGTACATATCTTTTTAGGTTATCTTTTCATATGTATTCATAAATATTCACACTGATACATATAAAAACCTAGTAGGATATACATCAGTGTATTAACAGTGGTCATTTCTGAGTGACATGATTATGGGAAATCTTTTTTGATGCTTTCAAAATGTTTAATTTTTTTTTTACTGTGAACACTGTATTACTTTGATAATCAGGACAAATAAGTTAATTATATTGAAGTATAATATACACGCAAGAAAAGTACATATGAGTGTACGAGTAGCTGAAATCCCATAAAGTAAACGCTCCTCTAGTTAGAAAACAGAACCTGACCAGCACTGCAGAACAAACTCCTCCTCTCCCCATCCCCTAAGGGTAACCACTGTCCTGACGATAGCAGAAATCATACAGGATGCACTCTTGTGTCTGTCCCCTTCCACTCAGCGTTGTTTATGAGGTCCATCTCTGTTGTTGTGTGTAGTTGTAGGTCATTCATGTTCTCTATAGTATTTCATTGTGTGACTATAAAATGATTCCTTTTTCTGTGTACTGGGTGGATGAGCATTTTCATAGTTTCCAGTTTGGGGCTATTACAAAGGCTGCTATGAATATTCTTAGTGCATACATGTCACTTGATGAACATACGTGTCCATTCTTGCTGGGTCTAGACCTAGGAAAGAATTGTGGCACCCCACTGGATATGCATATGTTCCATTTTAGTAGTTACTGCCAACAGTGTGTCAGGTGGCCGTACTAGTTTACACACCCTCTGGCAGTGTGTATGAGTTCTACCTGTGTCATAAAAAGTTTTTTTTTAATTATGATTACAATTTTTTTAAATTATTTATTTTTTATTATTATTATTATTGGGGGAACAATGTGTTTTTCCAGGACCCATCAGCTCCAAGTCAAGTAGTTGTTTTTCAATCTAGTTGTGGAAGGCGCATCTCAGTGACCTATGTGGGAATTGAACTGGCAACCTTGGTGTTATGAGCCTGCGCTCTAACCACCTGAGCTAACCGGCCGCCCCGATTACGATTTTAATACCGTTTCTAAGCAAAAGCAGTAAGTGATTTGAAAAAAATGTTAACTACTCTGATAAAGAAGTTTGGTAGGTTTCTATTTTAGTCAAGCTCCATTGGGCCTGTCATCTGTAGTTTTAACATTCAGTTGGTAAATGCATCCAATTTAATATTGTTAAATAACCAGGAAAATACCATGGGCACTTCACTGGTTAAACTAAATTTCCAAGAGAAAAACAAGGTTGGCAATTTTTTTGTATTGGTATATTAAAATACTAGTATAAGAGTGTCATTGTTAGTTTAGTTTTTATCCTTAGAAAATGAATGCAGTTAAGGGAAGTTATGGTCTAATTTATTATGTCATAAAATAATTTAATAATGGTGTGGATTTAAGACTGTGATAATGGTGAAAATACCCAAGATTTTAAAATATTTTTAAATTTAAAAAATTGGAATGACATTTGGAATGATAATTACCTTTTAGGTGATGTCGCAGTGAAAATGTTGAATGTGACAGCACCCACACCTCAGCAGTTACAGGCCTTCAAAAATGAAGTAGGCGTACTCAGGTGAGTGTACGCAAATTAGTGGTTTCCAGAGAAAGTATCTTCATCAGTTCCTGTTTTCTAGCAGTAGCCACTGTTAGCTCTACAAATTTACTCAAAGTGGATAAAACAGAGTTTGAATATATTTTCTCTTTTGCCGTATTCTTTTAAGTGGTATACAATATTATAGTGTACAGCTGATAGAAGAGCTCTAAGCCTAGAGTGAATTAATGGGAATAGTTTTTGATTATGAGAAATAATACTTCCACTTGTGGAAATAGTACTCTCAAACTTCTAATCTTATCAGAGCACATTTAGAGATTCCATCATGCCCTGGAACTTGAGGGACATTAACAGACTAAAGTGCATCCAGGCAAGGACGACTTAGATATGGAGGATTCTACAGCTGTAACCTAGTGGGGAAAGCAGTCAGCAGAACTGAGGAGGTTTGGTTTGTAGGAGGCTGTTATGTTCAAGAGGATGCAGACTTACCCTCTCTGATCCCAGAGTGCAGAACAGGGAATCCAGCGGTGGAAGTTGGAGGAAAATGATTTTTCAGAACCCCAAAAAGCTTTCTAATACTAGAACTACTTTAAAAAAGAAAAAGAAGAAAAGAATGGGGGAAATAGGCTTCAGTCCCAGTGACGAGCTTCCCATAATTGAAGGTATTTAAGCCATCCCTAGTTGCCTGTCAGGTCTATTAAAAGTATTTCCGTAAAGAGTAGAATGTTAGACTACATAGTTACTAGAGCCTCTTCTAATTTTATCTTTCTGTTGCCTTTTTTAAATATATCTTTTTCTCACAGCATCTTATGGATAAATAGACTGTTTTGGCCTCTTTTTTAATATTTGCTGAAGTTTATCAATATTTACTTCTTGCTGTCACATTTCTTTTTACAGGAAAACTCGACATGTGAATATCCTACTCTTCATGGGCTATTCCACAAAGCCACAACTGGCTATTGTTACACAGTGGTGTGAGGGCTCCAGCTTATATCACCATCTCCACATCATTGAGACCAAATTTGAGATGATCAAACTTATAGATATCGCACGGCAGACTGCACAGGGCATGGAGTAAGTTCCATTCTGTTAAATCTCATGTAAATTACTTTTGAAGACCGTTGAGGGTGTTTTAAAATTTTTAGCTTTTTGGACTGCTTTTTAAGTTACTGTCCAGCAACATATGGACACTTTTAACTAATGACTAGCAATATGATACTAAGAAATAAAATAGTCTCTCTCTACTACAGACTTTAAAACATATAAAGTATATGGTAATAAATACGTGACTACAAATTTGTTTTGCATGCAGTGATTTAGCTAAGCAGTTAAGGTTCAGAAAACAAAAATAGGCAAGCAAAAAACCACTAAAAAGTCATTAACAGTTATTGAAGTGCATACAATAATTGTTATCCTTTCAAATTATTTTTTCCAAGTACCCATATTTTCTATTGCAAACTGGTCATATGTATGAAATAAAGTAAAATGAAAACTGCATTCTGATCCTTTTTAAGGATTTCAAGTTGAGTTGTTCATATCCATTGAGTTTTGCTATATAGTTTAAAAGGTAAGAAATAACTATAAAATTTACCATAGACCAGAATAGGTAACTGACTTGGAAGAATAAATTTTGCATGCAATTCTTAAGTACAAATGAATAGGTAAATCAAAAGGTAAAATTAAATAAATTTTCAAAGTGCTTAGATAAAAATTTTAAGTGACTAAAAATATATTTGAAAGCTGTATGAGTATTTTAAAAATATGTGTGGATCTCAAATTAGCCTAACATTTTATAGTATACAAATGGCTTTCACAGGCATAGGTCATTGTGTCACTTAACCTCTATAATGTTATAAAAAAGGAGATATTTTTATTTTCTTTTTACAGATAAGGAAACTCAGGCTTTCAAATGACTTGTCTAAGATCACACATTTAATAAGAGGCAGCAAAGGTGCTTAACTCAGAATTTCTGATTCCCAAGCCATTATTCTTTTCCCATAATCACTATGCTACTTTCACATTATAAAATTAGAATGAAATGGTGTATATGTACTAACACCTAGAACTTGGATGCAAGATCACTTAACAGCAAGTAAACTAGAACCAGATCTCAAATCCAGGTCTGGCTCTAAAATCTTGTCACTCTCCTACCCTCTCTGTCTCAAAACTAGGCAATATATCTATAATTTAGATTGCTTTTAAGCCTATGTTGAGCCAAAATGCTTATTGCAGCAAATTATTACCTTAACAATACATTTCCGCTTTTCCACTAGACTTAAAGCAATCTCACCCTTTCATGTAAGTTAGAATCAGAGTCTGTTCAAATCTGAAAGGTCATATTAAAATCTTGTCAAGAGCAAACCATAGCAAATATAGTAAACACTGAGAAAGAAACAAAGCTTATTCTGCCCCCTGCCCCCACCACCAAACATGCTCCCCACTGAGGGCCTTTTGTACTTGTTATTTTCTCTTTGAAGGATTCTCATGCCATAAATATCCATAGCGACCCTGTGTCTCTGTTCAAATGTCACCTTTTAAAAGAAGCCTTCTCTGGTCACCATGTATACTAACTAATGTCTTTACCCCACCGTCACTCTCTACCTCTATCCTTGTTTTCTTAAACATCCAGCTCTATGACACATTTTGTTTATTGTCTGTCACTCCCACTAGAATACAACGTGTATGAGCAGGGGCTTTGTTTTGTCCATTGTTTTATCCCTAATGCCTAGAACAGGGCCTGGCCTATGACAGGTACTCAGTCCATACCTGTGAAATGAAAAAAACGAAAGAAGGATCACACACAACTGCACATTAATGATGTTTACCTTTCAGAAGAGAAGCCAAATCCTTCTCATACCGAAACTGAGACATGCCAAAAAAAGAAAAAATCGTCAATGAAGTAATAAAAGGATAACAGAGGGTGAATGGCTTTTCCTATAAACAGAGGCAGCAAAAAGTAGTAGTAAAAATGTTTTTTGGGACAGTGAAGTGCTAGTATTAAGACAAGAAATGACAGTAGAGAAGAACACTATCCAGTTGGAATAGTTCTGTAGTCTGGAGGACAGTCAGTGAAGAGGCACTGTTTTTCCGTTGCTTTACAGCTTGGGATCTCTTAAGTATAAACATCTATAGTCTATGTACTCTGAAATCCTTTGCTTACATTTTTAAGTAATGCTCACTGTGTAAAAAGTATACTTGGCTATGAAGGTAGATCATGGCTCTGTGTGGTGATTACTAGAGGGGACGGAAGGGGGGTGAGGGGAGGATGAAGAGGGTAAAGGGGGTCAAATACAAGGGGATGGAAGGCGACCAGACTTCAGGTGGTGAGCACACAATAGAGTAGACAGATGTCGGATTACAAAGTTGTACACCTGAAATTCATATAATGTTACTAACCAGTGTTACCACAAGAAATTTAACTTTTAATAAATTAATTTAAAAAACAGTAAGAAAACAATTCCATTTCCATAGAATCCAAAAGAATAAAATACCTAGGAATAAGTTTAACCAAGGAGGTCAAAGATTGTACTCTGAAAAGTATAAAACATTGCTGAAAGAAATTAAAGAAAAAAACAAATGGGGTTTGGTGTAATAAAAAATTTTGTATAGATAGTGGTGGTGGGAGCACCAATATTGTGAATGTACTTAATGCCACTGAATTGTACACTTAAAAGTGGTTAAATGACCATTTTATTTATATATTTTAGCACAATAAAGTTAAAAACAAAATAAAGATAACACAAAATGGTTATGTGAGTTGCAGATAAGGTGACATATTTTTGCTGTCCTTTGAAACTCCACTAAAACTATAATAAAGGAATTTTTTTTTAAGCAAGAACATATAAGGATGGAGATAACAAGAAGGAAACAACAGCAACAACATTTTAAAAGCTAGAAATCAGGTGGTGAAGTGATGATCATGGAATTAGTAGACCCAAAAAGCTAATTCATTAGTTGGCAATGGGGAAATGAAAACTAACCTGATTTATACCTAAGAACCCTCAAACACCTCAGGAATTGGCAGTGCTGGGTATCTGCAGAGGAGGCACAGTACATGAAAAGGCCCGTCTGAAGAGCTGCTCAAAATCTCTTCTTCTGCCATGTGCCACTGGGTGACTGCCTATCTCTACCCTGGCAGTGGACTGGAAGTTTATGCTCTGGAGAGAGGAAAACAAGTATCTCTGGACTGGGGACATGGACATGGACACTCTACCAGAAACGTGTATTGAATGACTGCTTACTGAATGATGAATGGAGAATTCCCCCACACTATTCTTGTCTGTGGGTTCCCAGAATGCTAGCAACCACACCTTCCCCTCCACACGAGATTGGAGAGTCTTCTGTGAAGAATCTTACAGGCAAGAGGAAAGACCCAAAGGTAGTGACATCAGAGACTCCACCTAGATCACTATACAGGAAAGTTCAAATACAAGATGCCCACCTGTACACCGCTGCTTTCAGACAGCTTTTTAGTCCCTCACTCAGTCTGAGTAAGACACATTTATCTCTGGCTCACCTGAAACCAGAGGGAATGTCTCTGATGCCAATGAGAGACCAAAACAAATGGAGGGAAAGCGACTAGAAACAAACAAATCCAATGCAAGAAGAGATACCCCTCCCCACAAAACCTATCAGTTTCTTCAACGATAAAAGACAATTTTCTATCCATAAAACAAGAACAGAGTCTTTAAAAGAGACTTTGCAACAACAAAGGATGTTAAAATGTTAATATTTACAGTACACTAAATTACATCTTCTGCAGTTATTTAAACATAACTTTTAAATGTCTGGCTCCTCCTCCCCTGTCTTCCACCATCATTTCACGAAGGACAGAACGAGCTAGATATAGCTGACGAATAAGTCCGCACACTATTTAAATAGCCATTAATAATATACGTTTGCACAGCTCTCATTTCAAAATAACCTGCCCCCTGAATGTTTTCCAGATGCTGTTGAAGGTGACCTTTTCTGACTACTTTCCAAAATTGATCTTGTAGTCCCAGGGCAGAAGCAAAATAAGAGCAGCGTAGTAACCCAGTGTATTAAGTGCTGGGGCTGCAGTCACTCCCCAGAAAGAGCCTTCAGTAACTTGGAGAGTTAAATCATTAGGACTTTCAAACATGTCACAGAATATTGGGTTACAGAATATAAGCAGACAGTGGATGGGTGACATTTTTCCTGTGTAGTTAATTCTGTCTGTCCTCAGTGAAAGATCATTTCTGATTCCTGGGTTTACCTGAAGAGAGCAGAGCCATTCTAATAACAGGTAATTATAGACTGACTCTTAGGAATCAAGGTTTGTATAGTACATTTATCATCTTCTCACCTGACAATCATTGATTGATTCAGCATAAGGACCAGGGTATTTATTTCAAGAATATTGTTACTAAAGAAATTCCAGGAATGGTTGGATTCATTATACCATTTCTTTGCAGAACTTCCAGTGTCAGTATAATACTGTCAGTATAATGTCAATATAAAAAATGGTATAATTTTTATTTAGCTTTATTAGAAAATTTACTAAAAGTTAAATCAAGGATGCACGTAGAGAAAGTTGTGGTCTGTTATACTCACAGAAGTGGTATAGTCTGAATATAAGATAATTAAAAATAATTAGGGGAGGGCCGGCCGAGTGACGTGATGGTTAAGAACTCGCTTGGGATGCCAGAGGGCCCCGGTTCGGATCCCACATATGAGGGCCAGTGACACTGCCCTCCACAGCTAAGATGCTGAACAACAGCTCAACCTGGAGCTGGGCTGCCATGAGTCGCCGGCGACGGCGTAGGCTGCAGTCCCTGTGGCAGTGGGTTGCCATGGGCTACCGTATGTAGCCAGCAGCCAGCGTGAGCGGCCAGCAGCCGCAGTGAGCGGCCGTCCAGAAGCCGGCGACTGATCTGCCTCGCCAGAGAAGAGCGCAATGATGGTGCCAACTTGGGCCAGTGAAGCAACATCCTCCACAACTAGATTGAAGAACAAAACGACAGCAACTAGTCTGTTCCCCTTCCCCCAATTCCCCCAGCACTGTTCCCATCCCCTCAATTCCCCAATAAAAATCTTAAAAAAAAAAAAAAATT